GAGCAAACGAAACCTTAGATAAGGTTTATAACGTACAAAATATAAGATGGAAGGTTTTGCCAAGAGGAAGTGGTACGTGTTTACTCACCTAACTAAAAAGATCGTAACCCAGTACCGGAATCACAGAACATAAGAAATAAAGTAGCCTAGGCCCTAGGTTACGATAATCCATTAGAATATTGCAGTATTGAGGTGTTTCATAGAACGCCAAGTTACCTGTACGGTACCTAGTTGTCTTGAGGGGGAAGCCAAAGGTAAATCTAATCTATCTTTGATTAAACTAAAAAGACAGAGCTTAAGATAGACCACCAACATTTGATATTTTATCCACATTAAAGTACTGAACCAACCTAATGAAATACCATAGGCTGCTGAGCTAAGGATATACAGCGAGATATTTTGTGCACATACCACCGTCTTCACCAATCCCCGAGCAAATCAAGTGACCGCAATGGAGCGTGAAGCTGCAGAAACTCGTAACGCAAATAACTTTGTTTGTTTTATTAATGTGGGCGTGGCTTTCTAGGCTAGTTTCATCCCCCTGAGATTACCTCAGTAATTTTTTTGTGAAGAGCAATTGCAAGCACTTTTGAGTTTAGAGATATTTATGTGTATGAAATGGGAAGGATCACACGTGGTCAGTGCCACTGCATTATGGTTGCTGAATATCAATCACATTATTGCATAACAAGGTCCGGTCTAAGCCAGTAGTTTCCAACCTCTTTTGCGTTGCGACCCCCTTTGGATATTTTCTAACATGCCGCGACCTCTTTCACGATATATGCTAAATTTAAAATAGTAGGCCCCACAAAAGTAAGGATATTAAGCCTAAATGCGTTTTCTGCAAAATAGTTATCTTGAATCAATTCAAATAGTATATATCGATATTAAATTACCCCGTCATCCTCAACATTAACAACTTTTTGTATCGGTGTTCGACGGTATCACTACTACCGCGTTTCCCCCCAAATACGAACTACCCTGAAAATAAGACCTAGCCTGAATTTTAACATTGATTTTAATATAAGCCCTCCCCTTAAAATTAGACCTAGTCAATGACGCGACTTTTTTTACCTGGTCCGTTTTCGATGATTTGTTTTTAATAAATAAAATTATAGGACATCCCCCGACAATAAGCCATAGTGATATTTTTCGAAAGAAAATTGAATTAGGACACTGTCTTATTTTCGGGGAAACACGGTATTTGCTGAGTGTCGTATTTCAGGCTTTTAGGCCGATTTACAAGACTTAAATTTTCAAACTGATCCAATGGGGTTGGATTATTTGGGTGGATTAACTTTCGACCAGAAAATACCGAGGGTCAAAATCGACCTGGGCGTACGGATGATACGGTAATAAAAATGCTCAACTAGTACTTTCATGTTACTCATTGCCTTCTGTACACTTCGAATTGCCAGGTTAACAATTAAATATATATTAAAAGATTAAACGACGGCCTGTACAGTTGCAACATTTACACACAACAGTTGAGATTAAAAAAATTGAAGAACATACTTGGATGAAATTTTGAAGCTGCTACAAATAAAAAAATTCCAGCCGCGACCTCAAAGTTTCTCGTCCAATATTAATCCAACACACAAGTGCTAAAACTAGATACTAACCCAACTGAGGAAGAATTCCCTCAAAGAAAGGAATTTTGCCATTTTAAGAAAAAATTTTGCTTTTTTGAACCCCGTATGTATCTCGAATTGAGTATTGTGCAGCATAAATATTAATTTCGTTTCTTATATTAAACTGTACAAAAACGGAAATGCGACTTGCGCATTACAAAAGCACAGTTTTCAATAAAAATTGAATGAATAAAGGAGGGACGAGTTTCAAAATAGGTTGAGGGGGGATAAGGGAATTCAATAAAATGAGGGAAACCACACACTTATAGTCAGAAAAAAATACGTGCTGTCAATAAATAAGATGCTATGATGATAAGGGTGTTCTAAAGTGGAAGACATTAGTTTAATTTTAAGATTGGTCAGCCCTAGGCCTCAATGTCCATTTTTTCTTGTTTTTAATTATTTCGCCTATAAACAAATTTTTTCTCCATCACTGATTAGGATGGAATTTAATATTTATAGCTCTGCGACCACCTGAAAACCCCCTTTGTGGGTCACGATCCCCAGGTTGGGAACCACTGGTCTAAGCTTACAACCTCTCATTGCCAGCGGTTAGTAAACTAGCATCTAGCTCGGCCATTATCCGGCCAATAAACAGGATTCAAATGCAAACATTAGCATTTCATACTAACAGGATCGAACACATGTAGTAAATGCGGACAGTGATAATTTATTACTGTATAGCTAAGCGATAGCCGCATTCTCTTATCTTTGTGTGGCCCAGCTAGATATCTGAAGTTGAAAAAATGTTGCACACCCCTGGCCTACGGTTTACATAATATATAATGGCGGTGAAACGATCGTAAACTGACAGGGCTGCTTGGACACGGAAGTGAATCTACTCGTTCAAAATTAAAATTGCTCATTGTGTGGCGGGGCGTGCTGTCAGTGATATGGTGGTTTGCGAAGTCTGAAGTTTTTGTTTAAAAATACAATGTCGTCTACACTGATTAGGAAGGTGGGACTAATAAGAAAGACATTGATCTACTGATGAGTCGAATATGAGATGTCAGCTTATATATATTGATTTCACGTTGGTAGAGACTACGTCGACATCGGCGAATAGCGCGATACCGATAGTGGTTGATATTGTTGCCTCTGTTACGGTTGACAAAAATTACAATCAGTTGGCGTTGAAATGATCATAGTCACAGCCCATAAGTGTCGTACGTTTATCAAGGCGCAATTGTACGAATACAAAAAATCTTCCAATTCCAACATGCCACGATAGAGTTGCAGTAAAAATATTTCAGACCGACAACAACGAATTGGTTTAGAAAATTTAATATTACGAATGAATAGTATTTCCACAACTGGTGACAAATATTCTGATTCACAATGCTCATAAATAAAGAAACTGCATATTCGAATCAAGTGGTTGTGGTGAACACAAAACTCTTATTGTAGACTCGTCGACCGAAACAAACATGGAAGTATAGATCGGGTAGAAATGAATGAAGCCTGGGATTACAATAAGGTTTTTCTAATGGTTGTTATTGGATTCAAATATATTCACAAACAACCATTTGATTCAGCAACTGTTTGATGTGCGAAGAAAATGATTCAGCCTTGAAGTCTCTCAGGAGGTTTGTTCGTTTGTAAATGGTCTTTATTTAATCAAAAATATTTTTGAATATCCACAAAAAAACATCTCATTGACTTGATTTGAAGACGATGAAGACAAATTAAAACATTCTCGAATAAATAATTGGCCTGCTAGAGTTAGACGAAGATTTCCAGATAGTGAGTCTCTGTAAAACACCGGACATAGTTGTGTGACTAAGACAGGACAGTATTTTTTTCAATGTCCATCGGTATCGATCGCTTTTGAGGAGAGAAAATTCATTATCAAATCCAGAGCTAAAGTGAGTAAGCGTTCGAATCGTTACATTTTTCAGGCCAATCGCGTGACTAATAAGTGCAAACGAGGACTTGTACCAACAGTTATGACCCAGTTTGTACAGTTTCTTTGTAAACCACTATTACTATGTCAATTGCCGCCACAATAAACCCGTGGCGACAGTATTTTAGACACGCTATGTAAAATAGTACTGAATAAGGCACAAATATCTATTCAACCTGATAAATCGAAATATTCTGAAATCGCTCTCAGGATTATCAGGAAATATTTTATTTATAAGTATTATCCTCTGTCGTAGAAGTAGTCAGACAAACATAATGATAATTCTAACAAATTTCAAGACGATCTACTTCGTTTAACTTCCTCGGGTAGTATGAAAATAATCACCGAATGACCGAGAAGATAAATGACTTTCAGCCTATATGACAAAGGCGTACATTAAAATAAGATTACATGAGTTACTGATCTGACGTCACTGGGTGAGCGCACATCTTTTGGTTTTGTTTGCCCACCTGATTCGTTTCTGAGATACATCTCACAACGTCATCTTGCGGATATGGAGGTAATTTCTGGACTGCGGTTCATCACTGTCTGTCTGTATGGGGCAGGCTAACAATATAGCGCAATTTTATTCCGCAGACTATCGCCGTAGTCTATGCCGGATTCGACGATGCTTTCATATTTTTTTAATAAAAGGTTATTATTATTAATTAATAGGAACGGAAATGGAGTAGTTCTATAATGAAATGAATAGCTGCATGGGCTACGTACATGTACGCTAACAGTGTATATATACCGTACCAGGGGACATTACTTAGTCTCACTTCAGCACTTAGTAATCAAATTATGCCATTTGCTCTTACAGTCTTAAGTCAGTAAGTAAAACACAGTTACAGTAACCCAATACAGAATACTGTAGCGACAGCATTTGATGAACAGATGAATGAGACACCGTACCTAGCTTGCATGCAATAGTTCGGTTAAAATGTCATTTTTGCGTCTCAGTTGTATGTTTTCAGTCCCTCAGTCAAAAATTCGCCAATTGTCAGATTGTGGGCTCTTGTATAGTATACCGTAGTACTTCTAGGGGGCGTAGCATAACTATTTTTGCACATGGCAAGGCAATCCTGACCCCCACCCCCTACGCCATCTAAATATTACGACGCAGTATAGGATTGAACCCGACTTCAATCTGGTCCAAACAATGGGTAAAATAAACTTTTTTCAACTTGTTGAATTTTCTTCCTTTGGTATATCAGAATATTTTTCCTAGGAATTCAATGTTGACGTCTTTAGATTGCGCTTACTTTTAGTTATTTTTTTGGGGGGTTGGTTGCGTAGTGCCGATTTGCTGATATGGAGACCCAGATGGTCTTTTAAATGAGGGGTTCGCACACACTGTTATAATTGGCGTCTTTAAAATGGGGGCTATTCTTGGAATCGAAGAACTGTGCATACTTTCAACATGCCTATTTCTTTTCCATTTAAACTTACTACACTGAATGTTTCATTATATGCTCAGGTGTATCAAGTTGGAATAGATTAATTCTGTACGTGTGGTCAAAGTTTTTACTTGTTGTATGGTTAAAGTCTCATTGGATTTAGTGGTTTGGTTGTCGTTTCTCGGAATATCATAATGGAATGTATTGCGAAGTTTGACTTTCAAGCAACCGCTTGTGACGAATTGAGCTTTCGGAAAAATGATGTTTTGAAAGTGAGATTTGTTATCAATATTATAATAAGTTTTTTATTATTATCAATATTCTTCTTTGAAAACTTGCAAGCAAACGTTGTTCGATAGATTAGAATTGTTCCATTTGTAACTTTTGATGTTTTGAAGGAGACTACTTTGATTTTGCTTAAAAATATGGTAATGAGTTCAAACAAAATGTAGTTCGTCCAATCATTCAATTTAGTAAGTTTAGCTCAGTGTTCTCAACTTTTATGACCGGGAGCCTCTTCAAAGAGTTGCAATATTTGTGCCTTCTGCTATACTATAAAAGTACCTAATTTGCTTTAACACAGTTATTCTATGTGTCATCTATACTGATGATAAAAATCCTACAAATGAATAAATTCATTGCAGTCGAAAAATTAAACAAATCACAGTTGATTCACTTTCAATTATTGTAGTATTGCGAATAGTACATAATGAAAGTCTTTTCTCCCGAACTCCAGAGAAGCTCTCATTGGCCCTCAAATATGCACAGTCTGAAAAACTCTGATCTAGTCTATGAAACAAGTTTGAAACTTTTGGGTTGAACCTTGTAAGAAAAGAGTTTTGAATCTTTTCAAGCTCGTTAGTAATGCTTCAATTTTGGAATATATTGAATAAATCCATGAAATTACCTACCGTAATGATTATACCATGTTATAATTTTTGAATTTAGAATGATATTCTTCTTTATGTTTGAGAATGTAAAACCCTCATTTTTGTCATGGAGTCGTTATTACATGAACCCCTAAAATGAAAATGATATGGTCCAAAAAGGATCAAGGCATTGTTTATTACTGGATTGTTTATTTGTGGAGAAAACAATATCTAAAACAGTGTTGTTTTTAAGTGATTACTATTTTGATTTTTGATGATTTGCGGGGCGGATATTTCATTTATTTAATTAACAACAGTAAAATATAACAGTTTTGAATATCATTTAATTTAGACCATGTCGTTTGGGCTTTTTTTATCAGAATATTCAATCTTTTGAAAAAAACAACATTCAAACCATATTATTTGGGCTTTTCAATCTTAATATTCAATTCAATTTTTGTTTATTTTCATAAAATAAATTTATATACTGTTTACTTTATCAACAATTGAACATCTTGCCATATCTGGGCAGGCATGAGTTTGTGATTTCTCAATCTTCTGTTACTCACAAGGCACAACGAGGTCAGGAAGTTGTCTTTGATAATATGTATTGTCCAAGCAGGATATTGGCTTCATTGGTCACCTTATGGAAAATATTTGCTCACTTATTTATATTCCTCTTATGTATGTGCCATACATATAAATTATGTTATCCAATGCTCGATATAACTGGGAATTATGCTTGGTAAACCCATTATTGGGAGGGTACTTATGATAATACTATATTTACCACTGTGACTCATTCTCTGATGTTTCCATGAGGTGACATACCTACCTAGATAGCTGTGCTGATATGTATACCAGTATAACAAAGGAAATGAAAGCATTATTTGACTTGTGATGCTTAGTGAACACCTGTAAAATGATAGCCTATTCTACAGCCTAAATGAAAAAACAGCATAAATTTGATAACAAATTTATATATTTACATCATATTTTGTACAAATTTGAAAGCATCATTAGTGCTTAATATTTTAATTTTATGTCCATGATAGAGATTGTTGTAAACTCTCCATGTTTAATATTTTTCTATGCTGCTGGATAAAAAATTGAGGTTAGCAACACTGCTTAATTCGATCCTCATAGGTAAATAAGTTTATTTTTGTCTTATAATGTTTAGAATAAGATATCGTGTCGAAATGTGTTACATACTGATACTATAGTCTTTATCACACCCTACAGTACACACCTACCTATATAATATAAATCACAGTCCTAGTATCAAACTCCACAAATTGTGAGATTTGTCTATATCGAAATGTTTATTAAATATTTTTACAAATATATAAGAATACAGTTAGCTTTTTTTAACAAATATTAATAAACTAACTATTCCTGTATTGGTATGTATAAGGAATGTAGTGTATATGGGTTACAACAGTACAAAATCACCGATATAGGTAGCCGTAAAATAATAAATTACCAAAATACGAAAGGCAGAATTTTAGAACTTGAATTAGTTGTATCTTCACTGTATCCATATCCAGAACTTAGTATTACTAAAGTACAAGCCATAAATTTACATATTTGGTCATGAGTAATTTTTGCATTTGGAGCTCTATTATAAATAGCAAACCAATATCTTTGAATGAATATAATAAAAATAAAGGTTATTACTGGTATTAGTTATGTAAAATTGTTATTATATTTTGATAATTTAACATTGATAGTAAACGAATATTAATACAATTTCAGCTCCATTACTTTGCCATTGAAAATAGAATTTGATATTTTTCACCGGCCTTCAGATTTTTGTTTCTATTTTTTTTTTGACAATTCAAATAGAGATTGATTATCGGTACCTATCGATAGTTCACCTTTTTATTGTATCAGTACTTCTGTTTATTCCTATTTAAGAAAAATGTGATCACCTTACTGGATATTGATTTTATAAAGATTACATGTGAAATAGTAATACATGAATAATAATACCTAATTATATCTATCGATGGGGAATTTATTTTAACAGAGCGTCACTGAAAGGTATATAGGTGAAGATGTTTTGGAGTGGCGTGTGTGAACAGTGTTCCCTTGCTTTCGGTTCTCATGATTTTTAATTATAAAATAAGAAAAAATGAACATGAATTTACTATTTTTAATAACAGAGCGTCACTGAAAGGTATATAGGTGAAAATGTTTTGAAGGGGCGTGTGTGAACAGTGTTCCCTTGCTTTCGGTGCTCATGATTTTTAATTATAAAATAAGAAAAAAATTAACATGAATTTACTATTTTTATTTTAATTCTGATACATTTAACCGGCATTGAAACTGATATATATATTACAATCATACTTGGTCGTCTGTGTGTTATAATCTTGCTGCCTATAAGCCTGTTGTAAATATGACTAATCATGATGCAACCAATAGCTAGCCTAGAAACAGACTATTGAATCCTATCCTATCATTTTAGCAAGCTATGATTTTCTGTTCCAAAAATAGTATCCTATATGTGAGATAAGCTGGTACTTGAAATAAAACACTGTTGCTACAAAGCCAAGCAACAGTCAGTAACATCATTATAACTGTAAATTTCACCACGGAAATCTTCACAGTGATGATACATGAATACAAATCAGATACAACATGAGCTATAAACCACTTATTATTCACACCGAAAAGAATGTAATTATTCTGGTATTCTGCGTTGTGAATGAATTTCATTATGACCAATCTAACAATTCTCTAATTGAATTCACTTGTACATTTCCTTTTATCAGATGAGAAAGCTGTTACATAATGTGATGACAAAAGAATGTTTATTTAATACGTATGTGAATACGAATGTTATCCATATGTCTAATTATATAATTCAACATAAAGAAAGTTTTGTAATGGAATGGGCCTTTCCCATCCCCATAACACTTGGGTTGCCTATTTTTTCTGTAAAATTGGTCAAGTTTTAAATCTATGCACTATGTTTTTTTTTGTTATATAAATATGATTCATAGGAATAGTGAGGTCACTTTCATAGGATAATGTTTTCAATTTTTCCATTTCATATTTTCAATCATAATTTTTTATGTGAATTTATTCAACATTCTTGAAAGGCATTTCAATTTTATTTCCAAGTCGAGAGTGGTAGGACATCACTAGTTAACTATGCCCACCACAATGCTTGATTGACTGCCAAAGCAATTTTGGCAAATTACCGGAAAAAATATCAAAGAAACGGTTATTAAAAACCCAATGAAACTAATTTCTTCATTCTGGTTTATACATGACATACCGTAAGTGAAAGTATCTCAGTATTCAAATTAACATATTATTATTCATGTATATTGCAGCAGTGAAACCAAGTTAGTTTATGTCACATTTTCCAGAAATGGACTTTTTTAATCTTCCTCATTATGGACCGGGGGCCATCCTTTAGTCTAGAGCAGCGGTTCCCAACCTTTCTACCCTGGCGGACCGGTAAGATTAGATTAAATGTACTCGCGGACCGGCAAAAAATTGAAATGGCCAGAACAGAAAAGAATAACATATATTTGCGTAATATAATGCAATGTCGGGCACTCAATATGCTTCTAGACGAAAAAGCACACTTAAAAACATTTCTCACGGAGGAAAACTATCAAGTAATGTGCCGACCAAAAATTAAAAATGGGTGAAGCATATAATAATTTGCGTAATGAAATGCAGTGCTGGGCACTCATTATGCGTAAGAAAGGCACGCATAAAATATCTCACATTAAAAACATGCACAATGAACTCCGGTGAGAATTTTGCTGTTGTTTCGTTTCCAATATGAGATTGCAAACGAGGCCTCAAAGAAGTTTTTGCAACACGTAGCTCTGCAGCCGCGTGCAGCCGATTTCTTTGTTTCGTTTCAATTGAATCTAGTGATGAAAATGTTTTTTCGCATAACGCAGTAACTGGCTGAAAAGACGGACAACAGTTTGATTGCTCGATTACTTGGCGATGGGTATTCGTTATCATCTAAATTTGTGATAAGTAATTCTTTATTAATCTGGACTGTAAATTAGAATTGCCATTTTAATCAAGCCTTTTTTTTCATTGGGTCTATCATATTAATCCCTCTGCAGTTGATCGAAGTCTCAAACGAAATGAATTTGCATTACAATGAAAAAGTGGTCGATAACTTGGCAACAGGCTCAAAATCCTACTGTGTCTGAAAAAGATCTCTGCGACCCATGCTTTTTGCGCGTCTTGACCACCTGTGGGGTCGCAACAAGTTCATATCTTCTGGAATATTATACTGTTCTTGACTGTTTTCTGGTGTAAACAAGGAGATATGCATTAAGTTTTATATGGATGGTCATATTAATCAGGTAAATCACGCGTGCCGATTTTTAGGCTTCCTAATTTTGCGAGATTTGATGGAGCGCATTTGCGATGAATCGGAGCCAAAAAAGCGAAAAGTGTGAATGATCGGCGCTAACATGTCACGGAAGACGTCGCAATATGACGGAGGAAGAGAATTGCGTAATAAGCCAATGCAACTTTGTCTACGGTAAAGCGATTGAGACGACATAAAAAAAAAAAAAACGAAATTTCTGGCGGACCGTCAAAAAAGCTTCGCGGACCGGCACCGGTCCGCGGACCGGCGGTTGGGAACCACTGGTCTAGAGTCTAGACAAAGCTGTACTTGTTTTAGTGATTTATGTCCATTTTTAGGTTTGGCTGTGCATATCTGATAATTCCCAAAATGCAATTTTCCAAAAGCTCAAAAAATGGCCTATGATAATTTGGTTAGACTGTGGTAGGTAGCAGTGGCCCCTTGTACAGAGCCTGATTCAGAGTGAATGCCTAAAACGCCTCTTTAACATTACATAATACCATTTATATATTTGAAAGACCACCTAGTTTTAGAATAATGATATTTCCATTATAAAAATGTTTATTTCTAGTAAATATGTCAAGCACCTTAGAATTCGGCAAAAAACAGAACATAATCACCACTTCCTCTACAATGGAGTACTATACGCTATAAATAGATTTCTGTAAAATCCCTGAATTATGTTTTTCATATAAGTTCGGTACATTTGGGCGGATGTGACTAAAGCACCCTGCTGTATATTGAAGCATTTAAAAGCTTACAGCATCTAGTTTATGCTAATTTTTTAATCCACATAAAGTCCAGGAGTAGGTTCATACTTGAATAAAGTAGCCCACTGTATATCTTTTATTCACTATCCTGAAATGCAAGTTACGTTCTGCTTGCTTTATATCTTAGTATATTCATTGATTCCCTTAAACATATTTATTTACCATTCAGGTATTGAACACAGAAGATGACAGAAATTGGTGCAAAGCTGAAGTTGATGGAAGAAGCGGTTTCATTCCAAAGAATTATATCGATATTAAACCAAACTAGTAAGTATTATATCATTTTAAAAGAGATCTAATCCAAGACTGGTCAATAAAACAGATTTTATCATTTTTGTGTCGTGACAGCTTCCCAGTGATAAAACAATCTAATCTAAATGTTCAATAATTGATATCTAGAAGGGTGTTTCTCTAAAATGCAGGCAATTGCAATACTTGTTTTGTGAAATAAATTGGCACTCTATTTGCTATTAGTATTACCTATTAGTATACATGATAACCTTGACTCAAAATTTTTCACCAACTAACTAAGCAATTGCAATTAAATATTTGAGGGGCCATCGGCCCTACCTTGTGTTAGTGCATTTGATGTTGTTGTTTGGCAGTTAGAGATTTTTGTTCTGAGCCATGGTCAGAAAGTTTAGGAAGACTATGTGAACCCATTAGCTCTTTATATAAGCAACATCTTGTATAGGTAGGGACTTTTCTGAGCTATGGTGGTCATAAAATTTTGACAATATGTATTTCTGAGAAGGCTCCAGAATGTTGACTTATTTATATAGCTTTCAATACAGGGTTTTCAAAACAAAGGGCAGATGATTACTTTAAAATATCTGACAAAAAAACAAGTACTATTTTAGCTGATATATAATCCATCATAGTTTGGCGGCAATATTCTACAAAATATTTCACTTAAAAGTTTTAGGGGTTTTGAAATTGATAATTATACGTTTTTCTCAAAACAACTTTTTCAAGTTTCATCATTTATTATGATAATAATGATATCTATACTTTTGTGAATGTTTGCAAATTTTAACTTATTTGTTAGATAAACAATTATTTCAATTTTGCCATAAACTTATCCAAATGTTTATCCTGTACTTGATAATCAAAATTAAAGTATTACAATAAATGTGGTATCGTACACAATTTCACGTATTTAAAACATTATTTTCTGAATGCTGTCCTTGACGTACCATCGTTAGATTCATTCGCTGTGAGCGCTTGTTTATTATGTGTCTTGTTAAGGAATGTGACATAACCTCTGCTTAAGTCTATTCTTTTATAAATAGAAGATTAATCTGATAAAAAGCGATGAAACTTTATAATACTATTCATGTTTTTATATCAAAATAGCCCGGTATTTCAGGAATTTCAATTTGTATGGATTTATATTTCAGAAAAATCATGTAATAAGCATTGTGACATTTGTGAGGGTGTTCATATTTGAATGGTTTAATGTTCGGTAATTATTTTTAGAGTTAGTTTATAATTTTCATAGAATTGGTATATTATAGCAACAGTTGGTGCCAGACTTATTCATAATAATACTTGCATAACTCATATGAATCAAATTTACTGTAGTTTTCTGAACTATATCATTCGTCCCTTACAAACTGTGCATGTATTACTTTTGGTATATATTTTTTCTACAGTGAAATCAGGACCTAAATAAAGTCTTCACCAAAATTACAATATTCATAAAAAAAATCTAAAAGTAATGACATAGGATTCCCTGAAAACACCATTGTTGAATAATTTTACATTTGAGTTTTTTTTATAAAAAATTGTACATCTCAAATATCATTTATATTGGTTTTAATATGATCTTTCACTATTGAATTTCCAATAAATCAAGTATTATAATACACTGGCAAATATTACCGAAATATTTGTGTAGGCCAGTGACTTTCTGATAGGATTATTTTTGAATACTTTTGTATGAAAAATGTGATTCTGTACGGTGTACCTTTGCCATTGGCGTCTCTTTCCAATCGAATTCTGGCTTATTTACCTTCCGATAACTTTAAAAATCCATCAAATTTTTTTTTTATTTTAATTTTTCAGCAAATGCTATGATATACAATGATTTATCTGTCCTTTATTGAGCATGATACAGTTTCAAATAAATTTGATATTCCAAATTCAAAAATATTCCAGAATGGTTAATCATTCAGTTTTGGTTCAACACAACTCAAATTTCATATTGGCATCAATTTCAGAAATGCACAATATTAGTGTACATAATTAATGTCTCCAGCCATCCTAACTTCGAAACTTTAATTGCTAGTTTCATGTTTAATAACATATTCCTTTACAGCATCTTAGTCTATATAATTATCATTCTATATAAATGTACATTCCTGGGGGTGATCCAACAACATTTTATTGCCTTATTGCCATATTGTAACTCAATGAAGCATCAATAGTAATTTAGTGTATAAATCACTTGTGCTATGTAATATGCCTCAAGGCAGGAAAGCCCTAGTAACACAAGAATATAACTTTATGATGTAGCAGAAAGAATTGCGTATATTTCATTTCCTTGTATGGTTTCACTATTACACTGTATATTCAAAATCACCGCTTGTATTAAAATGTGATATTGTTCATTATGTATATTGTGTAAGATGGAAATCACTTGTGATGGACTTTCTTAATTATACTATTGAATGAAATTGATGAGATTTGGAACTGGTGTTTTAAAAATAGTGATCATAAAAGATTTTTTTATATAAATTGATGTCCATTACAGAAAATCTTGGTCTAATCAAAGTTTGCAACATATGTTTTCATCCTCTGGGAAGTTCAGAACACTTTGGCCAACAATGGAGTTATGGTACTGTTAAATTGTAGGCAAATTTTCCCCCTTTATTCTGATTGCCTGCCCTCATAGTTTTTTGAGTTTTTTTTTCAAACATGGTCTTGATGTTCAATTCATTATGTTAATAAATAGTATATTCATTTGAGATAGAGACAACTAATTATAAATTTTTGACGAGTTATATAATTTTATGTTGAATGTTCGGCACCCTACAGCTGTCGCTTGACGATCAAAAGTAACTGTTAATTACCATAAATGACTAAAGTCGGCTAACCATAATAACCATCCCTATCTTTCACCACGTCAATACCACCAAAGTCTATCAGGCTGAAATTTCAAATTGTCTCAGATATGTTAAATCAGAAAGACCATATCCCTATTTCTTTTAATAACTTCTTATATTAGTTACTGATTATTACTGGTTATAAGTCTTGTTATGTAAAGCACATGGAAAGATGTGTTTAATATAGAACAGGGGTCTTTGAGAGGCTAAATACCACCCACAACACATTTTATTTACTCTTTGAGACCTTATTATTTATGATAAATAAAGCTGCATGGAGGATAATGACCTAAGAATATGACTTGAAGAGGGTGGCAATGCTTACTCAGCTATACAGTAATATCACAATACATGAACGTCACAGTGAAGTGACAATACAGTTTCTATGTCTGGCAGCTACTAGTATTGTTCATGTGATCAAGTTTCTGCGTTGTGTATTACGTTACACAAATTTACATCTAATATATTATAGTTTTTACAATTTTTAATACTGCTTCCAATATATGGCAATGGGGTATTATTAAATCCTTTAGTCATGACTCGTATATCTATTTTAGTATATTTTGTCCAGAGATTTTAGATAGTCTTTTTATCTTGATAGTATAGTCTCTTTATTTGGAACATTTGAAATAACCCCAACTGAAAAAAAGTCTTGATTTTCAACTTCGTGATTTAAATATTAATGTGTAACAATATTCTTTCAGTTACAAAATCTTATTATAATTATAATAATAGTTGACCACATACTCTGAAATAATATCTATCAATTCTTTTTATAGCTTGTGATAAATAGGCGACTGTTTTTAGTCGAGCCTGTTTCAAAAAGATTTTTGATATCCTACACAAAGACGCAATTAATTGCTGTAAGCCCATGGAGTGCATCAATTTCATTATGAATGTCCATACAGAGAGAGAGATTTATTATTTTGTCAACCAAAAAATATAGTCATCAATAAAATAGCAACAGCAATAAAATTGTTTTGATATTGACAGGAGGGAACAATACGACCATATGGTCATCAAGGTACAGAAACCCGGTTAGTTTTAGAAGGTTGAAATTTGCTTACAGCAATGAACCTATGCCAACTTAGTAGAATTGAGTTATTGAAACAGAATCTCAAACTGAAAGCTTGTGATATCCTAAACTGATAGTCTTATTGCATCGATCAGGTTTGATCAATGATGCAGTAGATGAGTAGATAAGATTTATGAGATAAGCCCTATCTGCATATTGGGTTTCAACTTGAAACCTTATTGTACAGTATGTTAGCAATTTTTGAAAACATAAAAACTAGAATAATATAGTTTCGAAAGCCCACCAATGAAATAAAAAATGAAATATAAATTTCATGATTGTTAGATTAAACTGAAGATTTTCAAAATTGTTAATAGTTTGCATTACGAAGGCATAAAAAATCCTATAAAAAAACACAGAGGAGATTTTGGCGAGCTTTGTTGGTCGACGTTTTTACCCAAGGGATTTAAACTGTTCAAGAGCGCAAGTGTTATTTTCAAAATATAATAAAACATTGAACCTAATGCCAATCCTTAATTGATATTTTATGCTACCTGCATGGGAAATGTACCAGTATATACGGTAATTCTATGTATATCTTGAATTTTTTTGGCAAATACATTTTCAACAGGAATGCTCATCCAATAATATGAAATCATGCTCCGAATTTTTTTTAAGAAAATCAAATATATCAGTTTTGAATTTCATATAGGTATACATTTACAGTAACTGTTATCTATACCTTGAACTCCAGATCAAATATTAGTACAATCAATTTTGCAATAGGCGTTAGTGGTGTGTGAAAATCCGATTCGAATCCATTCAGCCATATTTATTCAAATTCGGTAGGCTAATCAAGTTGTAATTGGCAATGGACCAATCGTTATGGATTGTAAAAATGAATCCGATTCTATACACACAATATGTTATAATTTAATGAATTTAGTGGGAGTATATTGAAAATCCAAATGGCAATAACAGTGCGGATTCTGAGAAGCGATGTCTGATTCCCCAAACGTCCAGTCATTATTGTCACACCAGTTGATCCTTAAGCCTGCAAATTGAATTAAAGCGGAATTGATCGAACGTCAATTAATATTTATGCGTATTTATAACGTAATTCAAGTTGTTTTTTTGTTTTCAGTTGGTATCATGGGCGTATTTCAAGACTAGAAGCTGAGAATATACTCGGACAAAAGCCTCTACCAGACGGAGCATTTTTAATTCGTGAAAGCGAAAGTTCCCCAGGCGACTTCTCTCTCTCAGTCAAGTAAGTAAAACATTAACAACAACGATGGTTTTCAAGTTGCCCAAGTCTGGGAGATATATAATACAAACCAACTATGCTTGGATTATCTACTAATCACGCTTGACTCATTCTATTCGGGTTTGTTGTTAGCTCAAATATGTCCATATTTATTTTGTCCCAACAAAGGGCCTTTTGTAAATAAGACGTAAGTATTATATAAATGTTTTAGTAGAAGGTTCTGTTTTCCTGTTGTCTGTGCAAACCATCTCTCAAGTTTTCGTTTGAATATTATATGTACTGTGCAAAATATCAAGATAAGGGTCTCTTTTGCTAGTTGTGAATTTTGTATCCTTTAGCCAATTTTACTAATTAGATTTTATTAAAAAGGGTAATAGAAAAGTTAATACATATTTTTGGAATACTGAATTGGATGAGCAAAAGTTAATTTATTGCAAAATTGATTTATAAAAAATTCCCAAAATGACTAAATTCCTACAGCATTTAATTGTGGATACCTGAAATTATACGGGGAGGTGGGAACATTTAAAGTATCTTGCTGTACTCTAAGCAAGCTAAATAAATGAACACGAATTGTAGCTCTCTCTAATTGTTCTGGGACGCTATCTGTATGTGTAAAATTAAAAATGTAAAGTACTACGTACTACGTTGGTGTCAGTTAGCTTGAGCCACTTAGTGGATAATGCTGTCTTCTCAATTCGATAAGATTTGATATAAATTAAAAATGATCAATTTCACAGTATTATCTAAATGTAATTGTTCAACTTGTTCCCTCTGATGAGTGATGAACACAAATTTTACTTGAAAAATCATGTGATTATTTATAACATGAATTACTTGGGTGACTTTTTATATTTACTAAAAACAAATCCTGACTGACTTATCTATGATGTGTAATGAAACAGTTGTTTAAACGTTAAAAATTCTGAAATCTTAATTATATTAAAATTCTATTTCAGATATGGTGATGGAGTCCAACATTTCAAAGTCCTTCGAGATGGTGCCGGAAAATATTTTCTATGGGTCGTCAAATTCAATTCACTAAACGATTTGATCGATTACCATCGTACTCAGACCATATCCAGAACACAAAAAATCCTTCTCAAAGACGTTCCACTGGAGGTATCTATTTTCAAATTTTTAAAGGCAGCTGGAATAATTCTAAGAGGGTATACGGAATTTAAAAAAAAAGGTTACGGATTAGAGATGCGCCAAAAATCTAGTGGAATGAAATGTTTGAGAAAATATATTTTTTATGAATCTGAATGGTCTTGATATTTTTTCTAAAATTCATCATTTTGTAGGTGAATTTATAATTCGTGAATATAGTACAATCAAATTTTCCATCTATCACAATTCTGTGGCAAAATCAAAATTGATTATAAAACAGCATTCTAGATTACTAGCCAATTCATACATTGATAATTCTATTAATAAGGATAACTCAAAAAATTTGTGTTTTCTCAATTCAAACACTCACCATAATTATATATGGCGTGTCTATATTTTAAGTATGTTCTATCTACAATCTGGGCTGGTAAAAGGTGGGATTGACTTAATTCTCTGGAGTTTCGATTCTGGGAAATGGCTTTAATTAAGATAACTAAAATTGGCTTCTTTCCCCTTGGTCAACCAATGTTTTCTCAAATTTCATCAAAATATAGGGTTAGAAATTCCAAAGCAATTTTAAGGATATCCTCTTGGGCCACTGCCTCTTGTGTGCACAATGTAGGATTTTTCATCATTCATAAAATTGATTTGATTTTTTGTTATCAATTTTCAGCAAGTATTGTTATTATAACCAGAACAATTTTTTAGAGTGATGCATGTTTGCCCATTTCACAGGCCTTTTGGGCTCACACCGACTGACACGGTTGATGCCAACCATATCATTTGATCTTGCATATTATGTGCTTATTCCTATCTATCCATGGCTAATAAGAACCCTTTGTTATTGCCAAACTTCGTGAAAATTATGGTTACAAAACGCGATTAGAACATGTTCAAAGAAAAAATTTCATCATAGTGGTCCATGTAATAATAACAGCTGATAATTACAAATTGATGATAAGTTTTTATTAGTAATAAATTTTAATTGAGACCTCCCATAGTTGTTGGCCACAGAGAAACTGTTCAAACTGGAAGCTACCAATAGAAATGCCCCTGGGCGCAACTTTCATTCGATTTTCGTAGCTTTATATCATTTCATTTAGAGATTAGCCAACAATATAGCACATATGTGACTTTTATTTCATGCTATTCGCAAGGCCGATTGCTGTGCTTTTATTTTATTGAATTCCTATGTTTTGTGTGCTCTTTGGTTTTAGATCTGTAGCAGAATTAAACTGAAATTTGCTATTCTAAGTTGATTCACATTATAGAATTTTCGTTTAAGCAAATTCAAACATAACAGCTTCCAGAATGTTGAAAAATAAAACAGGGAAATATTTGAGGAACAATTGCATCAAATAAAAATGCTCAAAAATCATCATTGATTCTTTGAATGTTTTCCTAATTCTATAAGATAATTTTTAAACTTTCTTGATACAAGTTTGGTTGATTGTGAAAATGACAATTTTTGAAGTAAAGATATATCTTACCAATATTTGAACATTAGGTTTGTTTAGACCAGGGGTTCTCAACCTTTTCTCTGTTAAGTACCCCCCGAGTCACAAAACGCGAATCCCAGGTTGAGAACCCCTGGTTTAGACGCTCGTCGCACAAAACATGTTTCACAAACTCTTAAAGATATTTAATTAAAACATATTTTCCATGAGATATTTTGCATCCTTGACAAATTTTTACACGCTTATGCACAATGAGAATATGGATGAAACAGGTGAAATTAGGGATATCCAAGCTAATAGAATGTTAGGATAATTTCAAAATCAATAACGTGATATTTAAATTCATGATTTTAGCAATAATTTAGATTAGTTTCATTTATTAAAGTAAATAAAGCCTCATTCGTGCATTTGTTTGATTTCTGAAAACTGAAAAATGAAGAACCAATCAAATCATTGTTCATTTGCTGAATATCGAAACCTGAACCCACACAATAGGCACATATGTTTTTTTTTGAAAATGACCCTATTTAGAATATATTCCATACTCGAAAATATTACGGAATCATCATTCTGTTTTGGCCATCTCGTAGGGAAAGATATTGAGGTATTCACAACCCTAATATGTAAAATGTTGTAAATTCTGAATTTATTTTCGAATGTTACCACGGTAATCAATGTCCATGAAGCATGACTGTGTTAGAGTGTTTTTCTCACTCATTTTCGTTAATTTGCAAGCAAGTGATGACATACATTGAATTTTATTTTGAAAAGTGTGAAAAAAGACTTGATTTTGCATAAAGTTTCTGAAATTCAATCATTTTTTTTGTACGAAATGAATTTTTTGACATCACTCCATCTGGAACTTCGCAATTTCAAATATTTTTGAGATTGTAGTAATCATATAATTTGGATAATTGATTTGATTATCAAAATAAATATTCAATGAGTTTTTTTGATAAGGAAATTCAATAATTGATATTTTTTACATGCACTCATTGCACATTAGGCATCATAGCAATTGGTCGATTTTATGTTTATTAAAACATGGCCAAGTGCAAAATCTAATTTCTCAAGTATGATTATACATAGAAAAACACCCACAGCTGTTTATGTACATGTTTTACTATCAATAATTTGGTGAATAACTCACTAAACAACGAGTACCCCTTTCCACCTACACAATTGATTGTTAAATCTTGAAGTAGAATAGAACCATTGGTATTTTTTAGTCTAAAGGACACCCATCTGATCAGGGTCCCAAGCCAGGAGACTTATCAAGACCAGGAGCCGAGAATCACAATATGCTGCAGGTTGATCAATTTTACATCTCTTGTTTATTGTAAAATAAAACATTCATTGGTGGTAATTTAGTGGCTTCATTTAGTAACAGTTTTTGCTTTAGAATGTTGCACATTCACTACACATTAAAGAATTTAATTTTAACCTGGAAAATGTTTTTTTTTTCCTTGTTTCATGGTCTATCTGTCGAAAAATACTGAAATGAAAATAGTGTTTGAATTAGTTTGGTAGGGTGATAAAAACCAAATATTAGCGTACTTTGTATTTATAAAATGTATGTCATATATTAGATATCTTCTTAAATTGTTCTATTTCAATGTTCTGAAAAAGTTGAAAATGCAAACTAATAATGTTGACCAGTTTACTTAGTGGTTTTTATCAGCCTGACATATTTCTAATTTATTATTCTCCAGAATGATAAGAAGTAAATATTCTTGCAATTGAATGTTTTAATATTAAGTATGAATGAATTTGATTTAAACATCATTTAGAAAATCCATATTCTAACAGTTTATAATTCTAGTACTCGTTACAGTCAATTCTGGTTGCTAGGATGTTTCTGAAATATAGGATGGTAATAATTCCTAGTTTCATTTGGATATCTCCATTCCTGATATCCAGTATTTTTGTCATATTACTTGGTTTATTTCAGCAGTTGATAGCTGAAGTACCGCCATTTGTAAAAAAACGTCTCCGATATTCATCCATTCATGTCTATTTGCTCTCATTGTACCATCAAGTCACAGGTTGTATAATTGTGTAATGAATAGGATTATATTACCGTATGTATCATCCTGTAGTACCAAAGTCATATCCATGACAATAGTCATGAACCCCTTCTGATTCTATTAGTAGAAAGGTTTTGAGTTTTTATTTGCTGGGCATATTCTGGACCAAGGAATAGTTTAGGAATAATGAGATGTTGGTAAAATGCACTTTACTCTTTAACCAATGGAGTGGGGTAATAGTCCAAGGCGGTTGTCAAGGAAAGAGGCATATTGACAATACTTTCTTCACATTTATGCCACTATGATATGATTTTTTTTCCTTGTGTATAAACTCGAAAAAATTGTCTTCCATTGCTTTGCTTTGGTATGCTGCAAGATTACCAGCAGAAAAAGTAATAAAAGACAGCTGCTACTAACGAGTAACAATTTATGAACACCTTCAAGGTGTTTTATAATTGACATAGGAATTCATCATTGAAATTAATCGCAATGATTAAGAAAATTCAATAAATCAAAATGAAAAATTGTAGCTCTTTCGATAGCACTTTCATTTTTAAATAACCTTCAAGCAACATACTGAGATCATTGATTATTCTTGGTTTGGGAACAAAATTCAAATGTTTAATTTAGTATTATAGAATTTCCTCATTCATTTCCTTCCTGAACAAATAGTATAGATTATTATCTATTCTTGTTATTGGCCAGGTCATTTATGAAAATAGTAATTTCTCTTTTCTGCCCCAAATTGATTTTTTTGGGAAATTGTTTATTTTGAATTGCATTTACACTTTCAGTCATAATTCAATTAAATTTCCATCGAATATTTATTTACTTTTCTTGCCCACAGCTAAGCTACCTTATAAAAAAATGTAGTACCGGTAGTTGTACTTTTACCATATACTACTATTGGAACTTGATAACTTTTTTGTGCTGAATAGTACTTCATATTTTGGTGCTCTTTTTGAAAAGAACTTTGCATGGACTACTTTTTCTTGGATATACTCTGGGTGATGTGAAGGGCATACATTCATATTCCTAACTTTATTTGCATGATGATCAGCGTGTAATGAACTAAAATTTAAAAGAATTCAAATAATATTTTATTCCTAAAATACCTATGAATTCATTGAAAGTACATCATTATGTATCACAAATGAATTTAAATCAGAAATATGAAATATTGGAATTAAGTTAACATAAAACAAATTTCAAACAGTTATGAATTCTTCTTCTGGCGTGTTCCTGTGTCACTGCCCCTTGGTGTTGGTGATTTTCTTGAAAAAGGTTATTAAAGCAGTAGTTATTTCAATGAAAATAAATATTTCTCGAAGTTTTAAGTGGTTATTAATAAGTATGTATGTAATGTGTTTTTTATCCTCCTTTTCCTGAAATTTTCAAGAAATGATGATCACTTAGTCGGAACCTGAATTGGCTATGTCCATTACCAGGAACAAATTATACTAATGTTGTTATTGTCCATCACTCATGTCAGATTTTATAGTTGAAAAATGTGAAAAACAAAGTGAATTTGTATCCACTAATCACTATCATGTTTTTTCTATTCTGAAAAATGGGCTTGACATTAATTGTCAATAAAACTACATGGGGCAATAAAAACCCTGATTACATTTGAAACAAGGCTGCTAATGGTATGATTTGGCTGAGATTCACTTATGCAATTTAAAAGATGTCTCATCACTTTGTTGGTGTTGATCTATTTGCATTTGGGTGCTCTTCAGAAAACTTTCTTCAAAGGATGTTTAATAAATAAGACTTGCATATTAGGAAATCACAGAAGCAATTTGGACAATCTGAATTTCAGTATTGCACCGTATGCATTTCATTTTATAATATCTTAAAGAAAAAAAAATGAAATTTTTTTTGTCATCTACAACTTTTTTTCTATGTATTTTTGGAGTGTATGCAGCTTTGTCCCACAAATTGATCACAATCGAAGTTATCATGTTTTGATGTAAGAAAATGTATATACCGTAGGTATATTCACGATATAAAGGGTTGAAGAGATTTAACAAGAATGCATACATCGCACCCTAGTCAAAAATTTTTCGTCATTCATTGCTGAACAATGCTAACTTATCTAATCTGCCGAGTAAAAGATTTTGTTATACAATAGTATAAAATTAGACTTGTCATTGCTTTGGGTGTTGCTGTCATAAAGCTTATAAAATCACTTTACATGCCTATTTTTCTTGTCAAAGTTTCTAACAATTTTTGTTATCTTGGTATAAATGTATCATTAGTAAATAACCGTAACTCCTATAATCCACCAATAGAGCACCCAACTCCAGTGAGCACATGGTCACTTCACCTTCACAGATCAGCCATCAGGGACTTGTCGTCGCCAATAATACAATTAACATAATGTAACTATCTCATGCAGTATTTCTCCATGAATTCTTGCTTACACCTATCCAACTTCTCCACTCATTATTGTCATAAATGCACAATAGATAGTAGTTCATTTCTGAGATTTACAGTGTAATATGTCATGACAGAGTGTGCATCGTATCAAAATAATTGGCTGAAATTTGGAAGTAAAAATTCAGAACCTTGCTTGGCTAACTACCATTAAATTATTTAAAATTTTTTAATGAATGCTCTGCTCTGTACAGTCTATCATTGAGACAGTCGAGAAAATAGTACCAGTTTCTCTGGAATTATATGACGAGAAATTCTGTTCTTTTGCTTATAAATTTGCAACAAATGTAATTACTTATGGGCAGTTCCAATGTTTTTTTGTCTAGTTTTTATTATCAAACCCCTTTCATTTTATTTTCATAAGGATTATAGGTATACTCCTTTTATATGTTAGGAATCCCTCTTCAATAGTAGTTTTGAGATAACATTTTCATATCATGCTTGGTGTATATTTAATTAAAATACATGGTTAAAATTCAAATCCTGATGTTTTGACATGAGTATTCATTGAAAAAGTTAACTTTTTTGCTTTTAGAATTTTAGCGTGACTGCTATTTATGATTTTACTCCGCAAGAGCATGGTGAACTTCCTTTCAAGCGACATGAAGTGATTACAGTTATAGATTGGAGCGACGAGCATTGGTGGCGGGGCAAGCTTCAAGGCCGAACCGGAATCTTTCCTAATAACTATGTCTCTGTCAAGCAAGATGTTGTCGATCGACTTCGAAGAGCCGGATATAACGTTCCCAACAATACCATCGCAAAACCATGATAATCCTAAAAATCGCAAACAAGAAAAAAAAATCAGGGTGGACTATAATAATCCATGCTTTTTTTACACTTGGTTCGTGAAAGCATGTGCATGGATGAGTCGTGCCTCACAGGTACGAATCATCCATGCACCATGCTTGAACGAACATAAACTGGATATGAAAATTCAAATATTATCTCAAAATAATTTTCTGAAATTGACCTGACAGTTAGTATTTCACCCTGAGTGATCCATTTTTAGCTCTTTAGGTTTTTGAATGTCCAATTCCAGCAGACGAAGAAGCAATTCCAACAATTGTATGCAATATACTTTGGTGTAAATAGGCACCATAATTTTTAGAAAGCTTTCTCTATTTCCAGAGTGTTTCGGCATAGTTGATTGCGTAATTTCAGCATGTACAACATTCTAATTGCCATTTTATATTAAAAAGTTGGCAGTCACAACAGCCTGCCAAATAATATAACTCTGTCTGTACTAGAATTTTTTTTGAAAGGAGAGTTTTAATGATTTTTGAGTTTTTTCTTCGAGAAATATATTGGGTAGATCTACGTATCTTCTTTCTTAACCATACCAATCAACTTTGTGAATGACTTTTGAGTTTTGGTATTCCTATGTTATACTACAAAAAAAATTGTAAAATTGATGCTAGATTTTCTTTTTTACTGTTAGGATTTCTTGTTCTCTCAAATTGATTCATTAATATTATTCTCTCATTCATAATCTTGTGTACAGTTCTCATCTAATTAATTGTTATTATGTCTGTTCTTGTTTCTCTTTTCCTCATTTATCAAATTATGAATGATAATAATGATATATTGTAATTTAGAATACTTATCACCGTTACATATGTCGATTCTATTCTTGAATTTTTTATTTCATCTCACTCATTTCAACTCGAATGACTCGAAAGTTTGTTAACGACAAAATCTCAAATTGAGGCAGTTTTTATGTCTCAAATCTATCGGTTTCATTCCCTTCATCTGGAAAACATCAACTTGAACGGATATTATAAAATGTTTCAAATAAGCTGAAAACAGTGGCGTATCTAGGGTGTGGCAGCCATGGCCAGTGCCAAGGGCGCGTTCGAACAAGGAATAAACTATTTCAAATTGGAAATAACCGAAACTAGTATTTTTACTCAAATGGTAACTCACAAGTATCTCATTTCAATAACAGTCATCATAAATTGTCAACCAACTATCAAGAGGGTGGGGCGCCTTTTTGAACTTTACAATCCTTTTTGAACTTTACAATGGGCGCCAATTTGAGTAGATATGTTACTGGCTGCAAAATGCGGTAAAAAATGCTTAAAGAATTTGGTTTATTAAAATCACTGTTTGATTTCACAAATTTACTTAAAATTCAACATAAATTATGATAATTCTGCAAAATAATTTATTTAGGACCCTGGACACGAATATGTATTCATAAGCCTATACGTTAATCATTGAAAATGTGCTAGTTGGAAGAAGTTATCAAAATCATATCTCCCTGTTTTGAGGAGTTTCACTTACCTCCAAACTGCACTGTTTTAAAATAAAATATCACTCTATATAATTTGCTGTATTTCTTGACTTTTTGTGAACGAATCAGTTTTTAATATAAGAATTTTCAACGCCTTGCCAATAATGACCATGAAAATCAAAGCATATTCTATATGAACATCCTTATTTCCATGTGTTTCAATATTTATCAATAGGTGTATGCTTATCACCATCAAATTGGTATGAGATATGGATCCTGAGTGTATTTTTATATATGCATATCCAGCCTGTTAATAATTCTTAGTGATCTAATTGTATTTTCGTTTGCATATTCTGAAAAATCTATCATGTTTAATTTGGTTGTGTATTCCAATAATTTCTGCCAGCAAACTAGGTGATTGTATGTAACTCAGTCAAAGGTTGAATTGTATAAGCTATTGTTGAATTTGGATACTAGATACTTTAAATATTTTTCAAACATGTTTCATGTATTGTTTGTCGATCATGAATTTGATACGGATAATTTTTTATGTGGGACCGGTAAACTAAAAATAATTTTCTTTCAGGTTACACGTTACAGTGTCCAAATACAGCAATATGTCAATGCGGTGATTTCAACAATTTTAATTTCACAGTACACTGTCAAGGATTCTTTTTGAGATTTGGTTTTCAGTTAAGACATTTTTAAAGCTGCCGCTTGGAGATGGTCGAATCTTGTTTACAAATGACTTTATTGCCTTCTATTATAAACTGCTATGGTTATAGTTGCCACAAAAGTTGTCTCAATAATACCATGTATAGTGATAATTGTAAATATAATATTTGTGTATTATTGTACATTGAGCTTATGATATATAGAGTGAGTTGGTGTTAGTGTCCTGATAAGTAATGAAAAAGGTGGTTATGAAATTGCTCTGTTTAAATCATGGTTACACGCTCTCCCTAGATAGAGAAATGTTATTTGTATGAGAGTTTTTGTTGTAATGTGCCTGGTCATGGTGAATTAAGACGAGATTTAACGCTTTTTGGTAGCTTCCGGTGCATTTTAGGTGAATGTCAGTAAATGTACAAGTGTGATGTGGTCGTTACTTCTCGCTTTTTCTATTAAAATCGGGTAGGAGTATACATATTTGATACACGAATAATTTTTGTTTGTGTATTTTATACAAGCTATGAAAATCGCAAGCGCTAAAACAGCCACAAGGCGATAAGAAAGATAATTTTATATTTATCCCAGGAATATCAGCCTCCGACCGCCTTAGTACGGCGAACAAGGCCTTTCGGCAGATTCCGATCAAATCAGGGTGTGAAAATGCTAGTCTATCAATTATTCGATTCTTCGCATCCCTTTAAATCCCTCAACAAGCATAAGGTACACATTAACGATCAACGAAATAAAGTTTTTTTTGAACGCACGAACAAAAAGTTTGGGAACCGCTTGTTTACGTGAGAACTGCGTCATGTGTCTGTCTGATTACAAAAGTTAGGGGAAAATATTGGAGCTGTGTAGTGTCATTTTTACATATATATTTACATTTATTAAAATGGGCTTTATGCAGCATCTTTTTAGATCGTTTAAATGGTTCTATTGTCGTATGATTTGTACATAGTTGCTTGGAAAAATTCCAGTACGACCATCCAAGATTCCTGACCACCAAGACAGGTCCGATGTATCGTCGATCATAATAAGATCTCCTCTTTTGAAACCCAATTCGCCTTCTTCCTTCACAACAAAGTCAAACAATGCTCTTCCCATACATTTGAAATTAACCTGAAATACAGTATTAGGAATAAAACAAATGGTAGAAAATCCGCAGAACATTAATTCCAGTGGAAAAAATAATATTTTTCCATATATATATATATACATCACAATCTTTCAGGTAAATCGTCTGTGATCTCGATACGGAAGCTGCTCGGTGGTACTCCACAAGCTGATTCAAAGAGTTGAATTTGACAACCCATAAAAAATATTTTCCAGCTCCATCTCGCAATACCTTGAAGTGTTGAACACTGTTCCCAAGCCTGAATAGGTGCATCAAAAATAACAATAAGTATCGACATCATCGGTCATTTGGTTAGTTATTTATCGGAGTACAGTCAGGCGCGATCGAAGTTTTAGATACAAATGCACAGCGGAGGTTGAATGCACGGTACGACCAAGTGGACTGGAAATTAATCGAAAAACTAACATTCAAAAAATAGTTCAAAACAACAGTCGCAAAAATGTTTGATAATAGCAAGAAGAGCTCATTTTTGAAATCGAGGATTTTACAAAAATTATTCTCTGCTTCAATGTATGGAGACGAGTCGACCAAGTGGCCAATATGGTCATCGTAATATTAGGAAAATTCCAGCCAAATATTTAATCAATTGTACCGTTGTAATATGAAGATATGCCGATAAATAATAAACACCATTAAAATTTGGAAGAAAATACAGGTCCCACAGGAACTTGTGATAGAATTTGAAATTAAGAAGAGCATTTCGGCTACTCCTGCCATTTGTAGTACTGAATATTTGGAGTCGATTGGTCCCTCAGATGGCGAGAGAAGCAATTTTTCACAACAATAATTGGCCTAATAAAAACAACAACAATTTACCAAAACAATTCACTTCAGAACAATAAACAACGCCATCACGTGAATAATACGTGGAAATGTAGATTTTTAATGTTTACTTACTTGACCGACAAACTGAAGTCTCCAGCGGTACTCTCACTATCACGAATCAAAAACGCCCCGTCCAGTGTTTGCTGGATAAGAAAACTGTCTGCTTCCACCCTTTTGATTTTACCATAATACCAACTGTCAAAAAGCGACGCGTTAAACGCTCATATACCGTACATAAATTTATATAATACACGTCAATAGCAAGTTTTCGAACACCTATTCGTTTTATTTTAACTAACTGATAGTGTCAGAATGCATATGCTCTATGTCTATGGCCTATTCCAGGGGTGGCCAAACCCTTGGCACTCGTGCCGAATCTGGCAGTCGGTGGCACGCGAGCCTATTTATTCGGCACGCGAGCAGGAACTCGGAAACACGACCATTCTCCTTCAGATAAAATGTTTCAAGACTCTAAATTATCTGATGATACTCGGTGTTCGTTTATTCATTATCGTTTAACAATCCGTTATTTATTCAAACTCTTTTTTTGTGTTTTCATGACATATGGCTACAAAGAAATATATTATGACGTAACAAATGAGTGAGCTCTCGAGAAGAGCGCAGCATTCATTTGGCTACATTCTTACATAATATATTTCGTCTGCGTAAAGTTAATGTTGGTTAAAGTTACGTGGTAACTTACTGTTATAAATTGATTACGAAACAATTATAAGCGATAGAGAAGCGAATACAAAAGAGGAGTGTAGAAAACGAACTATTGCGTGCTTGGGATGCCATTACCGAAAAATTTTCCTGTCTGAAAAAATATACAACTGCATTACTCGGTGACCGTACATTTGAACCCACGTACATTTGAACCCATTGGTATATCCACGGGTTCAATCTATATGCGGGTGCTAGAACCCATGGGTCAGGGTGAGTATGAGTTCAAATATCCATAGATGCAATAGTATGCAGGTGCAATTGTCATGGGTTCAAATGTACGTGGGTTCAAATGTAATGGAACCGCATTACTCTCCTTGTTTTCATCTACATATGCTTGTGAATCTCTGTTCTCAGTTATGAACTTTATTAAGTCTCGTAATAGGATTAGCCTGAAAGATGAAACCAGTAGTTCGTGTATTTTTCTTAAAGTTATAAAATATAAACCCAATGTAAAATCTCTATCAGCGGTAATGCAGCAGCAGAAGTCTCACTGATAATAGAATAAGAAAAGTAATCAAATCTATTTGTCGGACTGATATTTCCCCGAATAGTAAATCTGTCTGTAGCCTACATGTTTAAAAGATTTGTTATTGTGTATCATCGCTTTAAAAGTAGCAAGGAATTGTTTTTAATTTTGGTCGGCACTCGGAAGAATTTTGTCAATAAACTTAACCGATTTTGGCGCGCGAGCCGAAAAAGGTTCTCCACCCCTGGCCTATGCAGTCAGTTCGCAGTTACTTACCAGTAGACTTTAAGCATGTGAGGTCAGCTATGGGCTAGGTAGTTGCTAACAGAAATGTTTTTTAGTGAATTTCAGCATTTTTAAGTAGACACACGCATTCAGCAGGTATGTACTTGAGCGAATACGCATTATACATACATTTTTAAACTGACTTTTATCCATCTTTGATATAATATCAGCATCGAAGTTTTGAAGTGAAATAGATTTGGTCTAACCTGAATGGTTTCATTTGTACATAATTTTTTGGAATAAACCCTTCTCTGCCATTCTGCTCAGCTTTGTACCAATTTTTGTCATCAGTTGTGTTTAGTACCTTCACGAAAAGAAAATTATTTCATCATTCATCTTTTCATTCGTCTTTAATTTGGACCTCTGTTAAGCAGACTATTCATTGCTTATTGTAATTGCAGCGAATGAGAGTTTTTGAAGCCAGATATCGCAGTATCTGTGACTTATCGAAAAGTTAAGTTTTTTGAAACAAGACAATCTAATCTAAAATAAATTATTCTCAGTTTGAAACATTATTTACTTTTCCATGGATTCAATTATTATTGAGTTTTTTCCCAACCATACGCAATATTCTGTAGAATTCAATAATAATATTTAATAAAATACCAAAATGCATGGAAGCAATATGATATTGTGCATCGAACTGCAATTTAACTTCAACCTCCATTATTTGCTAGGCAATTATAAAATATATTTAATTTATATGGATAATAAATAATTTTTTGTAAAAATAGTTCATATTACTTTCAAAATAGTTCCTTTACGGAAACTCAATTCATCTTCTTTTGTTCCTTCAAAATCATGCAGAGCAACGCCTTCCATTTTAGTACTCGTATTGGATGTATTTAAAATAAATATATATATATATATATATATACAGACAAACTGTAAAATATATGCAATTTCATTAACATGTCGAAAGTTATTGTATACGCGCAGATGGCTTTTTTTTAACTCTTATGTAATTTCAAGCGATTTCTAAAAATAACACGTTGTACATGGGAAGGTACAAAAATGTATGGAAGCCAGAGAGCGAAAGTATCATTACTTATGAACACACAGATCATTTCCACACGTACCCGAATTAAGCCGAGTTTCAAATTCCCCAGATTCCGTAAAAATCCAAGTCATTTTATTGTCCCAGTTGTTTTTCAGTAAAAAAGATCGGTGAGTTATTATTATCGACAAAACGTAGTGCAACATCATTATACGAAATACCAGCAAAATTACAATAACTCATAATGCAGTAGTAACAAGCTTTAAAAAATCATAATTATGAATCATATGATATTTCTGATTGTATGACTTCGTAACACTATATTCATATATGTTCAAAAAACCTTCACAAACTTAAACGTACTCGCAAGAATGAGAGTCAATTGAATACAGGATGCAAAATTACATAAGCAAAATGAAGAATTATTTCTTTTCGACATTTTTAATAGAGACGGGAGTTTGCTGCTTCACTTATAAGTGTGTATACACAACCAAAATGTTTTATGAATGAAACACTAATATATATTCTTTATGGGTCGTTTCACATAGTCGCTGCAAATAAAGACGTAGGCTACACTCAATCACTGATGAGCAATATTAAAATATTAGCAATTTGTAGAATGACCAAAGTGTTTCCGATTTGTAATAGCTCTGCACATTACATTTAATAAGAGGTGAGAAGTGTAGGATTTAAATGTGAGATTTTTAACTTACGAAATCCGACATAATTGAGATCATCGAGTTTATCACCGAGGTCTCGAATAAATTAACTTTGTCTTGAAAATAGTCAATCAAGTTCTTAACCAAATAAAAACTTCATGTCAGTCGCAGTCAACTTTTCTCGCAAGCCATCTCTTTTCTAGAGTATATATATATATACTGGTATATCCAACTTTCGTCAAACCCTCCTATATATATACAGTTTTTCATCTATATAGCCCATTATACTTAAATGCCCTAATTACTGTTTTATTACAGTGGACTAGCTTTTAATACCCAGAACAGAATAAACAAGAGAGCTATGCTCAAATATATGGACACGTAGCGCCACCCAATGGCAATAATTTTGATGACGTCATAGCGAAAAAAAAAGTAATAGCCTTCTGGAGAAAAATTTTATCTTTAACCATTGAAAATTTCAAAGCATTTGGTCCAGTATTCTAAGAGAAAAGCGATTTTTTAAAAATGGAGACGGAGACAAATAACAATAACAACAAAATTTTGAAACGATCGTTATGTCCACTTCGTGTCCAATAACTAATAGTGTCATTGTTTGCTACGGGGGAATATATATTGTTCACCATCCATTAGAATATTGCGACGCCCTTCGGCATATTGCATCCGAATTCAATTTGCGGTCCACTACATCTAATCACCCTAATGAAATGAAATCATAATGATGTTATGCTAAATACCCGATTCTGGATAAAATTATATATATTTGTGTGTGTGTGTGTTATTGCCTGCCTGCTATTTTTTGTCATATAACCCTAAGAACATCGAATATAATCTCGTTGCTACGCTTTGGAGCACTTCGCCTTGCGTGTCATGCTCATGCTTATAACAGAATATACATCCTACATTTCGACACATAATATGAGAGTAATTTAGACTACACACAAATATATTAGAAGCAGATCAGTACACTACAAATAATTAAAATTATAACGAAGCAATTCGCTATGTGCATTTTATTGGGGACGTCATTTTCTACTTTACCTTCCACAATAAAATTATGGTCTTTTACAGTGTAGCCTACACGTGAGTTAATTGCATGAGTTTTCCGTCCGCAATCATGATTGTATCCGAAACAAACGACCATTTGAAAACCAAAATTAGATATGAAATCGTTTGTCGTAAGAGTTATTAACATCATAAACGTAACGAGCATTGTTAGTTTGAGAACACAAAAGCGAAAATTGCTAATTCCTATTTTGAATCCTGGTACAGCTAAATTCTTCATTTTCCATTAGGCTATACTATAAAGTCACATTATTGAATATTTTTCCGTATGAATATCCAAAACCAAATTCTAATTCGAAAATCTTTTTTATAGACTATCTTTTATATAGATTATTGTGTGTTGCACGAGTTAGCAGCGCCCTTGTATATATTTGATATAATGTTGCTGCCTATTATCTAATAACACCCCTTCAAAATAAATTTATTTGATTTATTATTTTTTCGCTTTTCTATTTCTCTTTCATCGTCACAAAGTTGTCAGTCAAATCTATCCTTTTTATTAGTGCGTCGTTACGAAAGTGTCAATCGATTCTACTTTTGGCTAATTTGTTAGGATAGAATGACATGTAATATTAATCCAATAATGATATTTGAATAAATGTATTTATAACTAACACTATTCATTTTCCCACGACGCAAATGCTAATCTATACATCTTTTCCATAACGTGAGTCATTTTACTCCTATCTTAATCAAATGTTTCGTCAATCAAATCAGATTAGACTTTCCTAATATTACAGGGTTGTGAGGTTATTTTTTTTAGTTCGTCGTTAGGTTAGGCTATCGCTGCAACTTCTAACTTATAAATAAATATGAATATAATGCAAAATAAATATGAATAAATGCCAAGCATTTTGCCTAAATCTAATAGTAATTGCCAGAACTTTCCTATGCAAAATCAAGGGTTTCAGTGGAACCCAAGAAATTTTAAAATGTTGGGTATTTCTATATGTGAAAATGATGCTGACTTTTATACTGTTAACCTTTTGCCAAAACTCCAAAAAATAAATGTGGTTGCACAAATGTGGTCCAAAAGAAATCTTGATTTTCTTGGAAAAATCACTGTTATCAAGTCCTTAGTGTTGAGCTTACTGGTCTATGTAATATCTGTCTTACCAGTAAGACTGCCCAACAATTTTATAACAGAAGTGAATAAGATATGCTATGAATTTCTATGGGGTTCAAAGTGGGAGAGAATTAAACGCAATACATTGATTGCATCCATAAAGGAAGTTTGGAATGATGTGGAATCATTTTTTATCAGTCAAAAACTAAGATGGGTTAAACTTTATTTTATGGAAATGTATATCCAGATGGAATGTTTGATAAAAACATTACTTCAAGATGTTTGAGAGATACCCTTTACTATTGGTATGTTTTCAAAACCAAAGTTATTAGTGATGTGAATCATTTGCATGAACCACTGTGGTTTAATAGGAAGATATCCTATCGAGGAAAACTTTTTTATATGGATAATTGGATTAGAAAAAAATACATATTTTATTGAAGACATCTGTGATTCTAAACAGCAAATTGCAATGTTTCCAATTTTTTTCATCATTATTGCTTTTCTGATTTTTTATAATAACATACAATCGTATTTAAAAATTTTAGCATGTATACCCCAAGCATGGAAAGAAAATTTATTGAAAACACCTCAAGCCAATCCTCATCGTAATCTAATCGAAGCTATTAAAAGCATTGATAAATCTTCCCGATATATATACTGTATGATAAGCTTCGTAATGTAAAAATTTTGATTCCTAATGAAAAAATAGAAAAATGGTTAAAAGAATTGTGCAAGAACTTAAGATAATTCAAAAACTCCGTTCCGACCGTCGTCGGGTGCGGACGTGTCAGCTTGAAAAGACTAGTGAATGCTACGCGTTGTATGTTTCGATATCTGTAATCTGTATCGCGCAATATCAACATGAGCAAAGCCCATCCACTAGAATTAAAGAAGTTTATGGATAAAAGATTGGATATAAAGTTGAATGGTGGACGATTTGTTACGGGTATATTGCGAGGTTTCGATCTTTTTATGAATCTAGTCGTGTATGATGGAACAGAGCGTAGAAAAGATGGGATCACTGCACCTGTTGGAATGGCTGAATGGTGGTCGTGCGTGGAAATTCGATATTAATGTTGGAAGCATTGGAACGGATACAATGATTTTAAAGTGAACCAACCGAAAACGACAAAAGAACCCAACACCCCAATCCATGATTTGTGCATAGACTGCTATGGAACATCCAATCCATTTACCAAGCTTGTTTTTTAGTAAAAAAAAATTTGTCACTGTGTTATTTTTGCAATATAATTGAAGTAGGCCCACAACATCACCATTTTTCGTCAGCGAGTGTTTTAATCCATATATCTGTATAGGAAAAGCACATACACGTCTCACATTTTAATTTGAATTTATAAGTTGTTGCCCGATGTTACATCGTGTTTTTGTTTTATTCTGTTTTTGGGGGACGGGCACGTACTTGTACGTATTTAACTTTTTTATTAAGTTATGCCCGTCCTCCAGGTCCTCTGTATTTTGTTTGTCCCTTTGTTGTTGTTTTGTTTGTATCAGAGTGACCGAATAAAATTGATTGATAATTGGTTGACGCGGTATAAAAAAGTTCTTGAATAGCCACTTGAAGAATGCCAGCCACTTGAAAGACTTAGTATGCTATACCGTAGCAAAGAAGAGTTGTTGCTTTAAAATTTCTCGTGTTGCTTCTTAACAAAATTGACAATCAGTACTACGGTACGTTTGAGGGAGTTTATATGATGACATATGTATATAATATAATATCTTCACGGACATATTACTCAAATGTGTTTAGTTGGATACGGGGTCGGTTGGGTTTACCAATAAGCATGGCAGGCTGAAGCTTTAAAACATTGGCTAATCAGTAAGATATCGATGGTGACGTAGTAGTATATATTTACGGTACCGGTACAATAGGTATTTTAGCAGCCGTTCAGGCACATTGACCACTTGGTCATATTTTCTGGTATGGTATGGTAATAAGAATGAATGTTTCTCCGAGCATCGATTTTTTTTGTTCATTGCCGTAACAATGACCAATCAGCAATATGTCAACAATGACGTAACAATTGCTATTTGTGGGACCGCTCAGCCTCAGATACCAACTTGTGACAACAGTCAAAAAGAAGCATCAGAGGAAGAATTTGTTTAGGGTCAAGGGTCGGAGAAGCACTGATTAGTGATTACCCAAAGTGACTTTGTGAAACGGCAATGGCATTAAATGCCTATCATGTTGTTTAATGTCATTGGTGAAACTGATTACTGTACCGAACAACTTCAGCACTTTCTGCGTCAAAAATTTTTCAACAGCGAAGTCGCGAACGGTCGTTTTTAGTTAAGATAAGTTTTGTTTCGACTCCATAATCAGCATAAAAGGCGATAAAATGATTGATAAAACCTGATTATGAAATCAGGAGTGCAAACAATTGACAAAAAAAAAACAAGCACAGGGCTATAATATACCGTAGTTAGAAAAAAGAGAGAAGCTTAGATAAATTATACCGGTATGGTAAACAAAAAAATAAATGGATACGTAAAAAAAAAGGAGAATAAATGATTAAAAATGTACCGGTACCGTAATAAAAAGAAGAATTGTTTGCCACACCATTTTAATTAAAATTTAACTGATTAAAATTGGTGTCAAATGCCAAATTGCTGAATTGCCCAACAAAAGTTGAGTGAATGAAGAGGTGGGCTAAACCGCTTCATTCACCAATGAAATGCCAAAATATTGCCAAATTGTAGTCCAGATTAGGCTACATCAATTACAACATTGCAGCAATTAACCATCGTTATGAAATTACAGAATTAACGTTTTGTTGTTGTGTTCTCACATCTGGACATTGTTGACCAGTTAATGCAGTGACAATATGATCAATATTATTTAGATTTTGATATACGGTAACATTCAATCACATTAGTTCAATATGGAATCAATGTTTCTTGTGAAGGATTCTTCAATTGTTGAAGAGAGAACTTTTTCAAAAGAAGAAAGTTTGCAATCACTACCACTTCCCCAGCTGTATGAAACACTGAATAGATATTTAGACTCTTGCAAAGCAGGCAAGGTTTTTAAGTTAACCTTTCCTATTACAGTATTACTGTATTGTACTTTATCTTATGTCTGTATGTTGACCCAAACAGCCAAATGTTGCAGTGTTGCAGCTGTCCCTCTGTGCAATGCTGCAACGAGAATATCGGTCTGAGACCGAAGACTTATTGATCGAAAGTTAGGGGATCCCCCAGTACAGAAACTGCGGTTTTGATTTTTTCGCTCTTACTCCACAGTGACACCACGTGTCCCATCACTAATTAATTAATAACTCGCTAATTATACGACATAATTCATCCAAAATCAATAGGCTTCTGATCCGAGATATGATGAATGCACATGCAGATTCAACCTCGCTTTCGTGAGATATCGCGTGTGTATAACAGACAGACAAATAGACCTACCTATCAACATACTTACCGATCAAGATCGATAAGTAATGAGAGCAGTTACATCACTCAATGTGTCTCCCATGTCTACATAAAACATTTGGATATGAACACGGTTCAACGGCATTAGCATTTCTCAAATTCAGTAATTGCACTATTAAAAAATGCAACATCAAGTTTTAATCAGTATCAAGGGTCAGAGGGCGGTATAATATCACCAAATGTTTAGAGTATCTTAGCCCATTTTTGTATGACTTTACCGCAACCTAATACCAGAAAACATAATTACTGTTGGAGATTCTGATTTCGGTTATCGCCATTCAAACTCTGAAAAATTTGACTCCAACAGATTTGGAGTACAAAGTGATGATTCTGACTTCAAACCTATTCATTATTATTGAGTCTTCTTTTTTTTGCAGTACTGACTGAGGAAGAGTTTGATAGAACAAAACAAATTGTGGAAAAATTTCAACAGAATGAAGGACCAAAACTTCAAGAAATTCTCTCACAAAAAGCCAGTGGTAAATTTCTGCTCTGAATTAAATGATGAACAATTTATCTATCACTATTTTGAAATAGATATTCATGTTATAATTATACTTATTTTCACTTGATATAAGCTCATAGCCTGGAACGTTCATAGGTACATTCTAGAATTATATTTCTGATTAGATTGGAAAATCTGGTACAATTTCAACGTTCTTGAGACAAGCTAAAGCCTAATGTGCTAAAGGAGAGATTTAAATAGATTGTTCTGAAAACATGGGATTCAAGAAATACTGTTAAAATCGAATTCGATGTTGTGGAATCAGCAATGATATATTTCTTGATTTAGTAGTAATAAAACAAAATTGGCATCTGGCAGAAAACGTTTCATCTATCATTAATAGTAATTCTTCATATTCAATTAATAGTTTTAATTGATCAAATTTGTGGAATTCTATTTTGAAAGTATGTGTTTATATTATGATTTTACGTGGTTATGGCATCTTCAATTTTTAGAATTTTTCATATGATTTATCATTAATTAAGCAATTTCTTATTTCTCTTTCAAGTGGAGAAAAATTGGCTTGAAGACTGGTGGCTAAATGGCTATTTAGATTATCGAGGACCACTTGGTGTCTTGAATTTTGGAGCTTCTGCAACTTTGGATTTTCTTCCCTCTGTTGAGAACTCGCAGGTCTCTTGTTCTGTATATGATATCGTATTGATATAGTTGTACAGTCACATATTTGAGAAATGTCCTTGATTTTTATGAAAGTATTGGATTTGTTCAAATATCAAAATCAGTTTTTTATTTGCGGTTTTATAGCATTTCTCTCAATATGCCAAGGTTGGCTATTTCGAATGTGAATGGAGTGTTTTTGAATATTGAAATATATGTTTAGAGAATTTCATACAAATCATTGTGATTTATGAGTTCGCACAACTTGTATTTGCTAATACAGATAAACGTTACAGAATATTTTCACAGTGTAGCAAGTCATGCCTATAAAATTTTTTGAAGATTTCTTTTTCAATAGATTGCTTGGGCCTTGGGCCTACATATATCTATATTTATCTCATTATTAAAGTTGTTATTTATTTTAATTAGCTCCACCGTGGTGCAATGATGCTTCATTCCATCATGAACTTTTGGAAGCATTTACGAAATGAGACTGTCCAACAACTAAAGGATAGAAAAGGAAACACACTTTCAATGAACCAGTTCAGGTAGATTCATAAAATTGTTCGCTTAATTCTTGTAAACTTGTTTCTGTGGTAGCATGCCTACTGGGTATGTCAGTTCAAGTAAGTCACCAGCATACGTTATCATGTATGACTTCTTGCTGTCACACTGTTGTTTTTTTAATTGCTTGATGGTTGCGACTTCCTGCATTAAGTAAGACTTCCTACGTTAATTAAGTCTATGCATATGGAACATAACATGATCAAAATATTATAATACCTGACCTATACTCTTATTAGGATGTGAGTATGTGGATAGGCATGTGATTATAATGTCTTAATGACCCTCTTTCCAGGAAATAATAAGAAAAAATTACTCGGAAAAGATTGATGTAACTGCATTGTTTCAAAAAAGGATATGAGCGTTTATTCTGCTTCTCATGTCTTGTAAATGATATACTTTTATTAACAATTCTTATGGCTTTCAACATTTGAACCCTTCGAATAAGTGAAATGTCATAATCCTTACTGATCCAATGTATGGTATGGCTATCTTATACTATAGATGTTCTTTTTGTTTCGTTTGATATTAGTAAATACTTGTTTGCATTTGAATATATATATTTTTTTTGAATAGGCCTATTTCAAATTAAACAAAATTTAGTATTATTGGATATGTAAATCCTTAAATACAACTAGCCTATTTTAGGTGTCATTTTGATTTTTGAAAACATGTTTCTTGTCCATTTCTTTGAAACAACAACTTTTCTGGTTGATATTTATCTCCCATATTTAATTACTTAGGTACATTTTCAACACTTCAAGGATAGCTTTGAAAGGTCGGGACAAGCTTGCTAATTATTTCAAAACTAAGTCTGAAGGAGATTGCCCTTCTCATATCATTATTTTTCATCACCAACATGCCTATAAACTGAAAACAATTTCAGAAAATGGTAAGTTTTGTTTATGTATTGTATAGTGCAGTGTTTCCCAACCTATAGATGTGACCCAAAACTGGGTCGCATGACAATTTTCTTAGGTCGCTTGTTTTTTTAACAAAAACCTGAAAGTTACTAATTTCATTTTCTAGTAAATTTTATTTTATATTTTGTATTAAAAGTGTTGCTCATTAGTAATTATATACGTGGAATTATCACTGCTTGAAAACTTCGTAGCATTTATTTTGCTAAAGGAAAGCCACGCCATGATTTCAAAACCTTGCTGAGGGCAAACAAGCGCAGCATTCTCATTTGAGGTAATTTTTGGGGAAATAAATGTTATGTAAAAATGATTGTTTTGTATTAGTCATTGAATTTTGCGGCCATAGAAGTACTACATGCCATTCAGTATTTGAGCAAATTCTTGGTTCGCGAGATTTTACAAAATTTGTACTTTTAGAAAGTTTAGGTCGCTTGAAAAAAAGATTGATACCCACTTGTATAGTGTACCGTATAGCGGGTATCTACATATTGTTTGATAATTGGTTTGAAATTTTATAGACTTCTCAAATAAATACAAGTGTGTAAAGTCTACTGATAATTAAGTCAATACTAGGGCTGGGCATTTCCGAATACCTGGTGATTTCAGAATCGAATCGAATATCAGTACTTTTTTTATAATGGTACTAAATGGGTAATTTTAACTATTTTAAAATAATGATATGTACTTTTTTTGTAGATGTCATTTTGTAAAAATGCAGATTTTAACTCAAAAAGAATGTTTGTTTTCATTTTTGCATATTATATAAGTCCTACAAAGATTGATATCAAGAGTTTTCACAAAGTTATATGAAATTGCTAAGAATAACACAAATTAGGAAATTATTTTGCAAATAGCAATCAAAGGGTATAACATCATAAAATAACATCATACAGTTTGGTTTGGTCAATTTATTGAATAATCCTTCATGACTGTGTTCAATAAATTAATCACATTACTTTCACAGACTGTGAGAAGATAGATCTTCCTTCCACTGATATCTTGTCTTAGTTTTTATCATGGGTTTAACTTTTAGGTGAGATCTATACTCCTGGCCAAATATACAAATTATTTTTGGCCATCAAAGAACAAAGTGGTGCTAAAGAGGGTGACGGTGTATCTGCTATGTCTGAGCTTGACAGAGATTCATGGGCTGAAGCCAGAGAATATTTAAGCCAACTTTCTCCAAGAAATGCAAAAACTTTAGAAGATATTGAAAGTGCTATCATGACTATCGCTTTGGTGGATGATAAAGTAAAGGTAAATAAGTTGATGAAATTTCAAAGCACGGTTTGAGATGGGAAAAATGTGGGACGATATTGGACAAATTTTGAATATTATTTTACTGATTTAGGCAAAGAATGTTTCATGAGGGTATTGTTTCAAATCACTTATGAAGGGCACAACTATGCAAATACTTGCTCATAAATCTTGATGTTATTTGAATCATAAACCCTCTTGTTTTTTATAGATGGAATTTTTTATAGTATTGCCACCAACTTTCTGACACATGATTTGAACATCTCTGCATTTGTTTATATTCAAGTTCAAATGAAGTTTTAGCACATATTTATAAGTGATGACCTCAATAAACTGTCCAAATTTACCACAAAGTTTATCATAAGCATAAATATATTTTTTAAGTAATTCTGTGGGGTTTTCCCTTTTGCTCTGAACTAGTCTCTATAACTCATTCAACCTGTGCCAGGTTTAGTAAGATTGAAATCTTTTTTAATCAATTTTTTTTAGCCTATTTTCGCAATATGGGTTTAATAATGCTCGAATACTGGCCTGTTTGACTGTAGCATTTCTCAAGCAAACTCTAGTGTCAAATTTGTTTACAGGATGATTCAGCCTTAATGACCTTGGGCACCACAAAAGTAGCGGGTAATCGATGGGCTGACAAGTATTTTATGGCAATTAGTTCAGATGGTAGATTCACATGCAGTACTGATCATACTCCTTCCGAAGGAATGACATTCGTTACTCTCATGATGTATAATGAAGTCCTTCTTAGGGAAAGATGGAATAACGGACAGTGGGAAGAAAGTTGGAATAATGGTATGTCCAGAGATATGCTTCGTATTTCTGCTCTAAGGCTCTATGCTAGAACAGCAAATATGTAGCTAATGTGCTTCTAGAACGGCTCAAATGAGAGTAATGACATTTTTTTTCACTTGTCCTAATAGCCATGCTATTGTGAATAATAATAAAAATTTTATTAAAGCATATTGTGAAATTTTTTTTTTTTTAAATTTTCAGAAAGTCTACCTTTCAATTCTATCACCAAGCTAGAGTTTGATTTGGATGAAAAACTTCACAACTGGATAGAGAAAGGAAGAAAAACATTGGAAAATTTCGGAAAAGAATCAACATTCCATATTTTTGATTTCAATGATTTTGGAAAGGATGAACTCAAGCAATTACGTGTAATGTTTTTATATATTGCTTATTTACATATTTCAAGAAGCATACAATATAGAAGGATAGGCAATTCATAACATGAACCATGACTATTTGTCCAATTTCAATGTTTCAAAGGAAATCGTTCCCATGTGATGATTATGATGTGGCATATTGAACGGAAATATTCAATTTATTACAGATTCATCCATGTGCTTTTAATCAAATGTGTTTCCAACTGGCATACATTAGAAAACATAGAAAACCTGGACCAACTTATGAAACTGCATCAACTAGATCGTAAGTGTTTTAAAACGTTTCTGAAAAGTTGAACATTTTTATGTGATTACCCTATGCATAGAGCAACGTTGATGTTGTTCAAATGACTTTTCTTTACCTTATACTATTGCATATCATACTCAGATTCTATCATGGTCGAACTGAAACACTGAGGTCTTGCACACCAGAGGTTGTTGAGTTTTGTAACGCAGTTATCAATGGTAAGTATATCAGAATTGAAAAACTGTTAAAATCAGTACAATTCACTGACTTGAACTTGTAGCCAGATAAGATGCCATGGGTCTGCATATGAGAAGCCGTTTTAATGTCTTTTCGCTCCCCTGAAATTTTGAATAATTTTAACTTTTATAATTGATTGTATTTGTGTTACTGGTGCAGGTCAAAACCACCAGAGATGAATAACTGATTTTTGTTGTGCATTTCAGATTTGCCAAACAAGCAGAAGCTCCTAATGAAAGCCTGTGAAAAATATATGAAGTTAATGTCAGAATGTTCAGCTGGGCGAGGTGTTGATCGTCATATGCTTGGATTAGCTGCAATAGCAATGGTAAGTTTTGATTTTGTTCATGCTTTAAATCAGAGGTGTGCAATAAGTGGCCCATGGGCCACAACCCGACCCGCCAAGCCATTTAATGTGGCCCTTGTCAACGCACAGATTTTTCCCGATCAAAGTCAAACATAAAATCCTAATCTGGCAATGTATGTTTGAAAAGGCACTCACATGGGTAAAAATACATATCGATTTTTTTGCTCTTGTTGCTGCGTTAAATCTTTCGCCGATTTGCTCGGTGCTTTTATTACTGTGAGGCTAAGCCAGGGGTCACCAAACTTTTTTGACCGCGGGCCGGGTATGACTCAAATTGTGTTGAAACGGGCCGGATGAATATTTTTGTCAATGCAATACAATAAATTCACAAATGTTGGGAATATCGCAGAATATAGATCGAGAACATCCTAGGAAAAAAAATTAACAAGATTTCTATATCTAGACAACTATCCTGAGTTTAGCTGTTATCAAAACGTTGCTGTCATGAATTAGAAATGTTACAAAATCCGGGGCAAAAAATGTACGCATCACGTCTGCTAAGTACCGTTACGCCGTGTTGAAATACCGCTCATAAAAACGACTGCCTGCTGTAGCTTGGAATTCTATGAAATTTTGACATAATTTAGATAAAATAAACAACTATTATCTGGTATTTGAATTTTTTCATTAGCGCATTAATTTTCCAACATTCGACGCTTTTAAAAATTACGCTCTAGTTATACGTAGTGCAAATTATTGATATTGTCTAATGTCTATGGACACCAATAAAATTTATATGGACGTGTGTATTTCTTGTCTAACTTGATACTTACCAATTTTTATGAAGTTCGTACAATCAGAACATCGTTAATTATTACCCACAATGAACCACTGTCAAACTATCATGCACAACTCCAGCGTTTATTTGCGACGATCTTTCGGCGGTGCCAATGACGGTGACCGTGCATTTGAACCCACGTACATTTGAACCCATGCGTATATCCACGGGTTCAATCTATATGCGGGTGCTAAAACCCATGGGTTAGGGTTAGTATGGGTTCAACTATCCGAAAAACAAAAAGAATTCCATAGGTGCAATAGCATACAGGTGCAATTGTCATGGGTTCAATTGTACGTGGGTTCAAATGTAATGGAACCGTCAATGACCGTCGCCAGAATAAAATCCTGAAATTATCTCAATATACCATAGATGTGACGCACATCGAAAGATTAGTCATTGATATGTGTTATTTTTCCATATTTAGTACAGTTCTTATCAAAAAAGTAATACAATTATTATGGAAAAAATTGGCTGTCGGGCGGTACTAAAATTCCGATATCTTCGTTATTTCTTGACCGTTTATTCCAAACTTGGTATTGTTTTCTATTTTTACTCAGATCTTTCCACTGGAGCAGTTTTTATTTAAATCGGATGAACTTTTGTAACATACCTACATAAATATCCGCATTAATTAAAGCAGTACAAAAGTTAGTATGGCTTTTGAAATTGGAGCAGTACGCGAAGGATTACAGTACTGTTAGCACAAAATGCACATTCGACGTTTATTTTAGCACGAAAAACAAACAGTTTCGTCGGAAGCAAGCGCCACGAGTGTACAAGTGTATCGCAGAAAACGTTACGTACTGGTAGCATTCAAAGTCGCAAAAACGAAGTTTTGTTTACAACCACGACTGAAAATCTGTCAGGGTGACAAAAGTGTCTGAGCGGATGCGGAAAGGCTATTATTACGTCACTTTTCTGCATCTTGCCGATTGGCCAATGTTACGAAATAAACAAGGACGACGATGCTCGTGAAAATCTTCCTTGGAAAAAAATTTAGCCATTTTTGCGTGTTATTGCGGACCGGATAAAATGACGTCGCGGGCCGGATCCGGCCATAGTTTGGTGACCCCTGCGCTAAGCGATAGCTGCATGCCACATATTTAGGCCAGCTAGATGTCTGAAGTTGGTTTTATGGCCCGGCGACAAAAAATGTTGCACAAACAGGGCTGTCTGAAGTCTATCGAAATTGATTCAATTCGGAATTATACATATTTTTATAAATATTTTGAATAGTTTAGAATAGTTTATTCGAAAATTTGTCTTGGGGGCAAATATAATATCTTAATAAAATGGACAAATTTCTAAGACTGTATAACATATAATCATTGTTTATTTTATCTTAGCATCATTATCCAATTTGAACTTGATGAATTTATTTTGAACTTCACATATTTTCTGTTGAATAGGGCATAATTTAGAATAGAGAATAACTTTCAGTATGCAATTGTCAATTATTGGTTTTCAACATTCTCTAACTTTGTTGATTTTTATTTTTGATTACCTGTATATATCAAATGATTTTGAACGATAATTATATTTATGAACTGATTTTGATAACGTTAATTTGGGAAAAACTATTTTTCATTTTATTTTTTGAATTTTCTGTGCCTTATTCTATATTTTTGAATATTCAATATCATAAAAGAGACAACTCACCATTTCCGCAGAGTAAACTTAGCTACGTTGTCAGATTGATATCATGTCATTATAATCATACTTACCGTACATTGTTGCATCAAGGATTATACTGTTTATTGAGATAACGTATTTAAACATTAATTTTATGTCACGCTTTATAACTGGTTAGTTAGTCATTAATTGACCTTTGATATGCAGACAGCTTCGAATAATAGGGAGATTTCAACATATGTTTGTTGAGAATTTTGTTACAATTAATGTAATTGATCACTTCTGTTTGAATGGACTTTGTACTTATACTATTGATCTTTTATAGGAAAAAGGTACTCAACTTCCAGAGATATTCACAGACTCTGCATTTAAGAAAAGTGGAGGAAATAATAACTTTGTGTTATCTACTAGTCTAGCTGGATACAGCGGTGTAAGTATCTTATTCACATAGGATTTTTATATTTATTCCAGGGAGAGGGAAGCCATAAGAAGGCTTATCTGATTACCAGCCCAGGTCTAGTATGAAAAGAGTTAACCAGCTTTTCGTTTGACGATGGCGGAAGCTGTAACTAGCCTACAGGTATTGAAACCACCCTATGACACTGGTCCAGCAATCCCTAGTTTATAACTTGTTGGCATGTTATCAAATCTCCCATGCAGAGATGTTCCAAAAGCTTCAAAACCAGAATTCAGGGGTTTTCAATTTTCTTCTTATGCTTTTCCTTAAGCACATAATGGAAAAAGCTCTCATCCCAAGATGCATTTCCTATAGGCAGGCTTGCCCAATTTTCAATCCTTGAGACCACTATTTTAGCGCTGATGAAACTGCCACCCAGAATATAGTAAGCATGGATTAAATTGTTAAGCCAACTCAAAATTTCATCCTATGCTATGTCTGGTCAAGTTTTTACCATAATTGAATCATTTCTAGCTGATCGCCAATTCCGACTCAAGAGAGTCAACAGCCCTGAAAAATGTAAAGATAAATTCACTCTATTCAAATATATATTTTAATATTTTTTATTTCTAGAATATGGGAGCCACTGTTCCTATGGTATCACACGGATATGGAATATTTTTCCGAGTACTGGACCACAGTATGCATTATGCAGTAACAACATACAATCCTACTCCTGATGTATGTGCTTCAGATATGGAAACCTATTTGAGAAAAGCATTCCAAGATGTTTGCAATATTGCTAAGGGACTTTCTTGTAAGTTGTAACGAATACTTACATATTCAACAAACTAGAGTTATTAATAATAAATCAGCCTTTTTTACTAATCCAACTTTTTTACTAATCGTGACTTTTGAGTTTTTGCAGAATCCAGTGTAATTAGTTAATAAATACCCTTTTTACGTATTCAATTATATATATATTACTTCAGTAACCATTATACTCTCAACCACAGTGTTAAGTAATACCCTAAATGCGGTTATGAGATTCAAAATTCTTGTATCGAACTCATCAACAACCGGTTCTCTTATTTCAATAAACCTGCCGAACTTATAGCTCTATGAATGTATGTCTTATTAGCTAATGCATGTTATTATGTAAGATGCATTAACATGTCAAGCTTCAAATAAATCTATTACATTTCGAGACAACATTCCTAAGTTAGTGCGAATTTCCAAAATCCCATCACTGCGTAAATGCAATTGTAATAGATTTGTCTATGTTGAAGGAAATACTTCGAATATTGATTTCATACATCAGAGTAATTGTAAAAAAGATAATATTTGGGATATGGTTTAGCCTGAAGAGAGGAAAGTTGATAAGACGGCTTAATCATATGGGAACCAAGGCCTTTCGTCTGTTTACCAGTTCAGGCCGGGTATGGAATTAGTTAGCCAGTTATTTGTTTTCTATTGCATGGACTTAAGTAGACGAAGCAGTAACCAACCAGCGCTTACGTGAACCAGCCTACGGTTACGAGGAGTCCAGCGATCCTCTCGCACATAATTAACCTCGCATGGGATTCAAACTTTTGGTATTCAGAGGTGCCGTGACTAGGTCGTTTCTAACGCTTAGCACGATGCGCCACACCGCTGAGTCAAGTGTTAATAACATTAATACTGCTTATTTTTGCCTTAGTATGAAAATTTGAATAGTTGCCAAATACTATAATTTTTCAATTCACTTCTTTGTTACATTTTTTTTGTATTATGTAAAAATTTATGTATTTATGTTAAGAAGATTCTCTAAAGCTATATACCGACAACAGTTATATTTGTTTCTATTCCTTCATTTGGTTTAGGAAAGACTTTCCTCTTGAAAGATCCCATGGCATCGGTATTTATGGATTATTTAGTGCAATTTCTAATTTTAATACTCCGTGTTACTGCTTTGTTCAATTGTCGTAGTAGTAGTATGCATTGTTTCCAATCGCAAAAAAGAATTTTTTTTGTTTTTTAATTCTCATTGCTTGCTGTGTAATAGATAAACTGATCTCTAATATATAAATCATATTTTTGCTAATGATTTTAATGATGCTGATTCTTTAGGATTAAATTATAATTTTGTATCGAGTAATTCAGCTATTCAGTGTATTTGCTTTGCCTTATTGAGATTTGAGTGTACTTAATTGAAGATTAATGGCACATCAAAATTATAAAGATTGCAAGCGGCAGGGCGCTCCAGAAGTGTGTACCAATATGGAGGTAACTAATTTTGTTCGCCTACTTTAAGTTGTCTAAAGGGAATGAAACCTTTGGGCCAGGGGGTATATCCACTCTGCTAACACAGACAGTCCCCGAACTCGTAATAGAACTAAAATAGGGAAATCAGAATAAAATCATGGCCAACCCTAACCTGGTACACGCTACAGGAGTACCAGTGAAGGTGCTCAGGGCAGTAAAGTTGAAAATTTTTTCATCTGATCGGAACTTCTGGACTAGGATTCTAGTTTTAGGAAAATTTTCTCTCAAGTCTAGGAACCCAAACTTGTAGCAAAATTTCAGCACAAAACTTAATGCAATTTTTGTCATTCAGTGAGTGAGAATGCTAGCCCATATAACTATCGGGGCGCCCTGATGAGTTTTCCCCTATTTTGAGTATTTTAAAGATTCCAAATGAAAGTTTCAAAATTGTTAAAACGTCCGCCGGGTGGCCAAGTGACGTATCCAAATCGGTAAGCTGGGTGGAAAGCGGTGGCCTTCTCTATGTCTGAGACAGTAGTTTCCAACCAGGGGCCTGTCGCCCATTAAGGGGGGGGGGGCACCATGCCAGGCGCAAAACCGATTTTACTTCTCCTTTTACTAAAAAAAAACTCCACGTTCTTCCTAGTTTCATTGCTTGATAAAGTCATTTCACAGGGTGTTTTTCCCTTTGTTGAGCATGAATTGTTCGAATATAATGAGATTTGAAATCTATTAATCAAAATACCACTGGAATGATAAACTGGGGACCATGAATGCTTAATGCCTCTGGAAGGGGGCCACAAGTCTTAAAAGGTCGAAAATCACTGGACTAAGGGGTCTTGTGGTCTTTCCGCTCGGGCATAAATATGCGAAGCTTTTTCAAATTAAGGTAGTCAACTCCAAACTACAAGTGAAGAAGCGCCGGCAGCAGAGCACAAGCGATTGGCTTCCGATCGCCAAATTTACATTTTTTTTGCAATAAAGTCTAATCAACAACAACAATGATGCTTCATATGGATACGATGTCCTTCTAGTTGGGACCGTTTAAAAAAGCATATCTTCTTCAGAAGGTGAATAGCTGACAGAGACACGTATTTAGAAAGAGCATATCCTGCTTCAAATCATAATTCTTACAGGCGTACACCTTTTTTTGTAAGAGGCATAGCTTGTTTAGAGGTAAGGGGTATGTGTAGATCAAAGGGCACAGGCCGTTTAAATGTTTATTAATGGAAAATTTTCCTAGTCACGAGTTCAAACACACCTGAAAAATCCCATTGCTTTCTATCGACGGTTGCTCACACTACCTTCATCCGGTGTGGAATCACCCCGCCTACGAGATAGTAAAGAGGAACTTCATCAAGTTTACATAACTACTCCATCAGTTCCTTTGTCAAGGTGATAAATTTAGTTATACTGCTGTCAAAACGTTTAAGAATTTTTGGTTTCGTATCGCAAACAAATTTGAAATTCAGGCGGTAAAACTTTGTTTCGTCATTTTGCCCAGTTAGGATGATGCGATCTGTACGACGTCGACAAGTCAAGCAAGCAATGTTTTGTCAAAAGGGAAATGCCTAATATTTCAATTATTCTGGTGCAACGGATTTAAAATAGATATATATATATATATTACTAAACTGGATAAGGATATAATTATGTGTATTTTTTAATAACGAACCAACGAATTTTCATCAGATGCAGAAATTCAAATGTTGAATATCAAATAAAAAATTGCTGTTTCAATATTAAAGTCCACAACACATAACTACGTTATTCGTCTGATGGAATTTCTAACGAAAATTCATTGAAATCTCAGAGAAATCGCAAGTTGACCTTTTTATTTTTTTGGTTGTTATGCATATGAGGGCGCGAGTTATATTAGCTGTACCTCATTTAAAACACAAGCAAAATATGCGTATTTCATTTTTGCCTTTCCCGTTCAGCCTATCGGGGTGTCTATTATACGCCTGATGTGAAAAAAATTCCTAGCTAGCATTTAAAACTACGAGTAGGCAAATCTGAAGCGATACGGTTCAGGTCTTTATGTGCTTGTAATATTTTAATAGCCATCGTAAAGAATATCTTGTATACAGGTTTTAGGTTGAACACATAATACCCGATACTACAAGAAGTCAACATTTGTAGACCCAAAACGTGTTAACATTTAAAAAAAATTTTGTTTTGATTTTTCTTAGTGGTTTTCATTGACTGACAGCGACCCATTCTGAAAATAGTTGTTTATTTAGTGGCGGTCGATAAGGGGCGCCACCGTGGCGCATTCCACTTGGGGAATTATCTGAATTATTTCTTCTCTCACTTGGTTGACAGAAAAAATTTCATGGGTAGAATAACGGAATATTTGCTATTGCAATTGTTTTGGTGAATAAATTGAGGAGGGGCGACACCGAAACGCGTACTACTTGGGGAATTCATCTCAATTATTTCTTCTCTCTATAAGTTGCCAGAAATTTTTTTTATGAATAGAATACCGGAATTTTTGCTATTGTTTTGAGAAATGTTACAAAATGGCGGACACGCTAAATAACGGTATCAAGCATATTTCTTGGTAGGGAGAATTTTTCATAGCGGCAGCTGTGGACTACCTGTGTGTCGTATTTGTTTTCAGTGCCTAATATTTACAACGTTAGCATGGTCAAATAGCGCACCTCGTTCAACGGGTGTAGTATTGTAGAGCGAGACTAGAAAGATGAGTGGAAAACTACTAGGATGGATTGTGATGTCATAATACGCTATGTCATTTTTTCAATATGATGACATCATTTTAGTTATTGCATCAAAACAAATAGTTTGGTTGAAATTTAGTTGAAAATTACTTGTTAGGATAGGTTTGGCTGTGACCTAAACATGGAATGTAAATGATGAGGGAAGCCCTATGCCCTCATGCTGAATCGGAAATAAAAGTCTCCCAAATTGAGTAGGCTACAGACTTACCAAGAATATACTGATCGCGAGGAACTAGAAATATTGATTGGTTTAAAAATACAAAATTTATTAGTAAATCATAGGGTTATGATACATAAATAAGTACAATAAAAAATAACGAAAGAAAAATTATGTGTAATTTCATAACAATCGTTTGATGATGGTAACAAATTATTAGACACAGTTGAACAAAACAAAAATAAAACAAATGACAGTGTTTTTTAATTAAGAAAGATGAACTCAGATAACAAAAATCAGAAAAATACAAAATTTACATTGTAATTAAAAGTAGTGCGCCATTCAATTGATATTTGTTTTGATAATAGATTTATTCATGTCTAGGTTGAGCTATAAATAGGCGCTCCAGAAGTGTGTGTGCCAATGTGGAGGTAACTAATTCTGTTCGCCTATAAGTTACGTAAAGGGACTGAAACATATGGACATGGGGTATATTCACTTTGCTAACACAGACAGTCTCCAAACTCGTAATAGAACTAAAATAAGAAAAATCGGAATAAAATTATGGCCCGACCCTAACCTGGTACACACACTGCGGGATTCCCTTTTTTGTATTACCTGAAGAGATGCTACGCGTTGTATACTTACTTATATGTTCCAAGTAGTTTTAAAAGCTTTCATAAAAAATAGAGTGGAAATCCTGAGCCATTTATATAACCCATGTGGATGTATAGATTATTTAAAGATATCATCGACTTGAAATTAAAAAATTTTGCGTTTAAATCATTTGATTAAGAAAATTTACATAAAACGCGTTCAATATTGCTTGAATAATCTATGAAACTTTCAAATTTCTAGCATTTCAGAAAATAGATCCGAATATATTAAGATTGAAAAATGGCATTTTACCTGTTTCATTTAAATAATCTAGAAAAATACTGAAAGGAGGAACGGAATAGCAATTGATTTCCAGACTGTGTGTGAAATCTGCTAGAAGTGAAGTTACACAACGAAGTGACGAAACACATGAAAAGCGAGCGAGTGAGCCACATACAAGAAGAAGTGAATAAATATAAATACCTAAAATAAATAAATACTATTATTAATAAATAATCCTACGTTCAGATTTCAGAGCAAAAGTGATGAATATATATATCAGTCCAACTAGCGTTTTTTGGAATCAACTTCTTAAAACACAACGGCATCCAATTGTGATGTTTCGCATCACAATCTCATGTCATGATGAAAAAACTTTTCGTCAACATTAACTGGTTCCACTTCGTATTTAAGCTTCGGTCTCGTATCACTGTTTCCGTCACTGGATCCCGGCAATTGGCAAACATATTGTAGTCGTGAATTGAAGTTTTTACAAACGACAAGAACGCTAGGATGCTGAAGTTCAAATCCATTGACATCGAATCAAGAGGTTTGTCAAAGCACGGGTTGACAACAATTTTCGATAGCCTCAGTCGAACTGGAAACATAATTTATATAATTTGTAACTTAAAATAATACTCATCATTCACATAATATTTACGAAAAAAAGTCATAGATTTTGGCTGATGAGAGTTTTTTTAAAACTTTGTATAAGCATCTAATACAGTTAGATAATCAGTTCATATTGAAAGGCGAGAAGTCGGCGTAATTATACCACGTCTTTTCGTGCGGTTATCAGTTCATGTCGAAGACGTGGTCTTTTAACCAGTTAATTCGTTCAAGGATTCCTGGACTTGGGTAATGAAAAAGCTGTAAATTATCTATAAATATTATAATTCACAAATTAAAGAAAAAGACAAAAAATATTTCTCGTAACTTTACCTGAAATCAAAAGTCGACGAAACTTGGAACAGGAAACTCGCGATAAAAAGGCTCGCTAGTTTGAAAAATTTTGACGTTCTTCTCTGGTTATTGTAGACTGATAGAAAATACTCAAGTGTTCTCCAATTTATACGTTTTTCTCTTACGCAAATTTTTTCCAACAATGAAATAAAGTTTTAAAT